TCGGACGCTTAACCGACTGAGCCACCCAGGCGCCCCAGCAAGATCACCCTTTTAAAAACAGCCTTCCTGTCCCTGGGATTTTTGCTGATAGGTCTGTACCAAGGGCCCCAGGAGATCACTTGAGGCGGGAGGAAAGCCTTCTCTAAGGGAAGTAGAGATGTGAGCCCTGGATTCTTTAGTGGTCCCGGGTGGGAGATCATTTTCTTCTGGCCCATAAAGCAGTTTTTTGTTTTGTTGTGTTTTACTACAAGCATTGCCGTGCGGGTTGCAAGAAGCAGACCCAGGTGGATATGCTGGGGGGGTAGATTTATGCACCAGACTCTGGGGGAAGTCCTCAAGATGCCTTTACAAATGCCTTTGTCACACAGGCCCCGTGTACCCCCCAATCCAGTCAGCCCGAGGGGCATGTCAAGCCTGCAGTTAGGGATAGGTCGGAGTCTCAGGAGACAGGTCTGGTCTGGAGACATATACATAAAGGTCATTGCAACCAGCGATGGTCTTCCAGGCCCTGGAGGCTGAAACTCCCTTTCTGCCTATACTGACCAGAGTGGATTCTGAAGTTTGCCGTGCCAACAAGAGCAGAGCTGAAGATGAGTCAGCTGGCAGCTGGAGTGGGGGGCCCTCCAGTCCTGACCAGGCCCCAGAACACATCAAGTGTCTGAGGCCAGCAGTGTGGCCGGTGGCCAACGGAACCAGAGAACAGAAGACCCCTTGTGAAGTGAGAGGTAGCGCAGTCCACAAGATCACACTCCCTTCTGACACCCACTGCAAGTTTGAAGGCCCCCAAGACCACCCACACATTCCGTAATTCGCTGAAGGACTCCTAGGACACACCGAAACCTATTCATCCCATAGTGACAGCTTGTTAAAGTAAAAGATACCAATTAAAATCAGCCAAGGGAAGAGGTCCATAGGGCAGAGCCCAGGAAATTTCCAAACACAGAGCTTCAGTCAACCTCTCCTTGTGGATATTTGGACAGCCTTACTCCCTCCCCCTGCCCTCCCATCCCCCGCATCCGTGCGTAACCATGTACATAGAGTGTTGCCGACCAGGACGCTCACCCAAGCCTTGGCATAAAGTCTTTACTGGGGCTTCATCTGTGGGTACTACTGAGCACCCATGTGGGTGACTGCAGTCTGCAGCCCCTGCAGAGGCCCAGGTGATGCCATGTAACCCAAAGCCAGATCACACTATTAGATGGGCATGGTCCAATGCCCCCAGGTAGACAAAGACATTCCAATCAAGCAAGACTTCCCAAGGGCTTAGAGATTAGCTCTTGGGCTGAGACCGCTATTTTGGACAGGGTTGAATTGTTTACTGCAGAAGCCCCCCCCTCCCACTCCACTGCCTGATTTCACGGGTACTCAGGCCCCACCTTGGGGGAAAAGGGGAGTGTGTAAGAGGAAGGACCATGAGCACATACCCACAGGCTAGATTATGGAAGAGATTCCTTCAATTATTGCATGCCATTCCTGGATATTAATTTTCCAGATGTACCTGTACCTATACATGAGTGGATGTGTGAATAGAAGTGATGTATGGATAAAGCTCTTCACTGAAGCACTATTTATTGTCAAGAGCTTGGCTGAGCTGGAGACGGAGCTGAGCTGCCAGGTGTTGGAGATGCTGATTACAGCAACAACAAGCCAAAATGAAAGTAAGAGGGAAGCCTTCAGTCGTTCACTCTGATAGTGTAAGCAAAGGATCAAGCCAGAGAAAGTACTGAGACCCCCCTATTCCCTTTCCCCCTTTGAAATGGCATGCTGGTGGATCAGATGGATCAGTGTAGACCGGGGAACCATCTCACGGCTGAGGAAGCCCCAAACAGAAGCCTCTGGCAGTTTTATGGACCCTGGGCCAGCAGGGAGTGATGGGGGGGAAGGGCTGGGAGTAGAACGTACTGAGTGCTGAGTACTGAGTCATGGTTGGGGAAAAGTGTCTGCAACACATCCCCCTTCTCTCCCTGTGAAGGGTCCTTGGCAGAGGTGCCTAAAGAAGACCTCTACCGATGGCCTCACACGGAGAGACTTAGACTGAGGAATGCAAATATGCAAAGAGCATGACCCCCGGAAGCATTCCCAGATATAACGCACTGGCTGTTCACCAGGTCTGGTGCAGGGAGGCCAGCCTTCCTTTGGGAGGCCTATCAGATAAAGCCTTTCTCTTTTTTTTTTGCATTTTTAATAGTTTACTTCTGGACATTAGCCAAAATTTGCATCTTTAGCAGTAACAGATTTGCCACGCAGGTCAATTCCACGCTTAAGAGTTCTAAAGATCTGAACTTGACACCAACTGTTTCCTTTATTTCCTCGGGATGAATGGATTCTCCCGTTGGTGAGTTCTGAAGCCTATGTGGAAGGGTGTTTACTAGGTCTTTTTTTTTTTTTCTTTTAACTTTTTCAGATAAAGCCTTTCTAATTGCCTATGGTCAGGCCTCAGAAATCACATATTAAGTTTTTGGTGAAAATGCCAGACTTTGGTTAAAAGGAGGAGGTGGACTCCTTATTTATGAAAGCAGAGTGTTGGAAACAACTTTAAGAGCCCATCAGTAGGGGATTGGTTAAATACACTGTGGCATCTCCCCACCAGGAAATACTATGCATCTTTAAGAAAGAGGAAGTTGTCTTGTACATACGCAAGCGTGAAATTCTGTGTAGCTGTAAGGAGGGGGTGTGGGGAAGTCAGGGAAGAGCAAAGGGGGAGCTACAGCTTGCCGTCAAGGGGAGGGTCTCCAGGGCTGCATCTTAGTTTGGTGGGAGGATGAGGCCCATGGTGCAATGAGACTGTGGTCTCATGAGGGTTCTTTGTCAGCTCAGAGTTCTGATCATTAATAGCAGAATGTCTTGTCCCAAAGCCAGTCCTTCTTTACATGTCTGAGCTGTCCAGGGTAGTCATGCCCAGAGTCAGACTTCAGGGTGTCGGAACCTGTGATGAGCCAGCTGTGGGTGCCCTGGACCTAGCCCAGCAAGATATGATGACACTCTGTTACTAAATGAATGTGTTTAGTTTCACTGGGTAAGAACGGTCTTTCCTTACTTTATGAATAACAAATATTTTGTTCTTTTACAAATAAGTGTTCTTCCTCTGTCTCATAGCAAAATGGTTGCCCCATACTCATCAAGGACTTGCTTGGGCTCCCCTGAGTCTTTTCTTGGACCCATCCCCTGGGATGTTCTGGAATGTCCTAGAATGTTCAGAAGGCAGGCTTGTTTGCAAACTGGCCTAAGTTTCTTAAAAATATGCACAGGAAAACTTTTCTAGGCATTGTGGCAAACAGTTTTCTAGCACATTCAGGATTTTGAAATGGTGAGCTCCTATTCCATTGTGGGACCATGTGCAGACCATGTCAGAGCCTCACCCATCTTCCCACAGCCATGTACACCAACGTGATTTCTGCTTGCCGGCATTTGTATTTCTTGGCCTGAGAGGTTTCTATGGTTGCTAGAGCCCTCTCTGCAAAGACTAGGAGAATCAGAGAACTCGGGTCCCTGAGAAGCTCCCTTCCACGACTGAGTGGTGGGAGATGGTGTATAAATATTCCAGCTTCTGTGGCCCTTGGGTGTGCACTCTGAGGACCATTCTGCACTGGCTCCCAGAGTTTCCCCAGCAGAACTAAGCTGTGGTCACCCTTGGTTTGATCATATACCCTTTATAGGCTGCTTTCCCCCTCCCATCCCATTTTCTCTCCTCCACTGGAACTTCCCGGAATCTTCCTCCAAATAAACTACTTGTACTCACCTCCTTGTGCCCAGGGCTGTTTCTGAGGAGCCCAAAGTAAGGCAGGTGATAATCGCATCAGCTGTTTACCAGCACCTAGTATGGCCCGGGCAACCCCGAGGGCTTGATAGGAAGTCCTGGAGTCCCCAGTCGCCCTGCGAGGAGGGATTCCCAGCCACAGTTGACAGGTGAGGACACGGGACTTGCCCAGGGGCCCAAAGCAAGTACACTGGAGTCCAGGCTGGCTCCTTCCACCACACCTGAGGCAACACTTAAAAGCAGGGACTGGAACTGGGTCTGTGCTCTCGCTACTTCTCCCACGCTGAGTCTACAAGCAGGAGATGCTCAGTAAGCACGTCCAGTCAATAAGTATCAAATGCCCAGTGCAGCTAAATAAGTCCTTTTACGCGGATTACCCAATATCACCATGACAACAGGCTCAGGAAGTGGCTATTGTCATTATCACCCTTATTTTATACATGAGGACCCTGAGTGGGGGAAGGGACCTGCCCAAGGCCACATGGCTAGTAATGGACGAAGCCCAAGGCTGTCACCTGTCCACCATAGGGATGGATGATGCAGGTGGACGAGTGAACCAAAGGGAAGAGGAGGGAGGGCACGAAGCCATGGCCTACTTTGCCGACAGCTGGGTGACCACGCATTGTCCCATCTTGGAACATGTCTCTGTCACACAAAGAGTAAATAGGCCTATTCCCTGTGAATGATCTGTTAGCCCACAGCTCCATCCAGCTGCTCATTAACACAATAATAAAAAAAAAAAATCAAACGAGCCTTCTGATTCCCAGTTCCCGGGGGCCCAACTACATAACTTGGAAATGACTCTTTAGTAAGTCTGATCAAAGGCTGGTTGTTCAGTAATTAGAAATCATGGCCTCTTCCTCCGGGCTTGGGGCTCATAAACAACGTTGGATGAGCTTTTTATTTGGGTCGGACCAAAAACCTAGAGGGATCCATTTCCTCCTAATTTACACCCATTTCAGTGGGGAAAACAGCAGGAGGTTGAGTTTTGGCTCTGGGAGACCCACTGGTTCCCTTGTGTGCTGTAGGCAAGACGTGAGAGAGGGAGCACACACTGAAGCGAGCCCCTAAGCTGCCCGTGCACCGAGAGAGACAAGCACCTTCCAGAGCGGGCATTAGAGTCAGGACCAGGGCTGGGTGGGCGTCCGTGAGACCACGGATGGGGCTGACCATCCAAAGACCCCTCAGACAAAAGAGGGTGGGTGGTAAGGAGGTTCAGCTAGAACACCAACTGGTTCCTTCATTGAACCATTCAATAAATATTTATTGAGGATCTACTAAGTGCCAGGTACAGGGATCAGATGGTGACTAAAAAAGATGATGCCTGCCCTTAAAGATAGTCCAGGCCAGGGCGGGAAGATGGCCCGTCTTGGGTGAGGTGGGGGCAGTGAAGCCCAGAATCAGAGAGGGTGTGGGTGCACCTGCTGAAGAGAAGCAGTATGGGGGCAGAGGCCAGGTGGACCTCTCCCCCAGAGCTGAGAACAGAGAAGTCTTCACCTTCCCAGAATCGCTGGGAATACACGGCACATCTGGAAATGCAAGTTGCCAATCCAGCTGTGGCCTCCAAACCCTGGCTGTGTCCCTGCCCTCAAGCTCTCATGTACTGGAGGTTGGTGCCCAGGAACAGGAAGTCCTAGGAGAGACAAGACAGGACAGCATGTCGAAAGTATCCCCTACACCAAAAAAATGCATCTCCAATATAAAGGGAGGCCCACGTCTGCGGGAGCATGAGCTGTGCCAGAAACCAGGTCAGTGCATAAATCTCGAATGCGCCTCCATCCCCAAGGTCTCCATAAAGCACAGCTTTTTCCAACCACCTTCTCTAAGGTTGCAATTTATCTGTCATTTCCCAAGCTACTGCTGCTTCCTGGCAGGCCCCATAAATGTCCTTTGTGTCACCTAAATTTTCTCTCCTTCGCGAATAACACAAAATTGTGTGCCACTGAGGTTTACTCTCCTACCTCCTTGGAAGTTTCCATCACCCGAAGGGGCGGAAACTCTGAACTGGAGTCAAAGTCCAATTCTCTCCCACAGTGATCCAGCCCTTGCCTTTGGGCGTCAAACAAATAACCTCAAAAGTCTGCTGAACATGAGAGTATATAATAAATCTTCTGATGATTTCCCACGTGCCCAGCTGAGGCCAGTTGCATGATTGTCAGTCCTTACTTCAAATAACCAGCTGTCTGACTCCTTGTAAACTCTCAGCAGTAGGATGTTGAGCATCCCTGGGTCCAAAAGGATGTTGGATATTAGTCTCTCAAATACAGCAATCGGTCATTGTGTCCATGTCCCTGACCACGCTGCTGCCCTTCCCTGTCTTTTTTTTTTTTTTAAGATTTTACTTATTTATTTGAGAGAGAGAGAGCACAAGCAGGGGGAGGGGCAGAGGGAGAGGCAGAGGGAGAAGCAGACTCCCCTGCTGAGCAGGGAGCCCAATGCAGGGCTCGATTCCAGAACCGATCAGGACCTGAACCGAAGCAGGTGCTTAACTGACTGAGCCATCCAGGCGCCCCGGCCCTTCCCTGTTTTTAGCAACTGTTATTTGCTGGATGTTGACGATGTACCAGACACAATTCATCATCTCCTTTACTGCTCACAGGGCTACTGACCCAGTCATCCCACCGTACAGATGCTATTCTAGAAAGATAACCTGAACCGTGGGCACAGACTGACCAGAAAATACTTGGTCAGAACAGTGGAGAGAAGAGTGAAGAATCAGACATATTCTTTGGTATGGAAATAGTTCAGTAAATGATGTCTCTGATGGATAGAACTGTCAATTCTATTAATGGTTCTATGAACCTTCGGTTAAGTGTCTGCCTTCAGCTCGGGTCATGATCCCCGGGTCCTGGAATCCAGTGCCCCATTGGGCTCCCTGCTCAGCGGGGAGCCTGCTTCTCCCTCTGCCTGCCCCTCCCCTTGCTTGTGCTCTCTCTCTCTCTGACAAATAAATAAATAAAATCTTAAAAAAAAGAATTTAGAAGAAATTATTAAAACTTACAACTGGCTCTCAGAACCTGCACTGTTGCCATGGCAACGTTTTCAAACTGAGCTGGTCTTGAGGTTCCCCCAGGTTACCCACAGGAGGGGTGCCACTTCTGAAGGACACATGGATGGCGGCATGGTATCTAGTCATGTCTGGGGCTTCCCTCTCCCTTCTGCGCTGCGGGGCCAGGCTGGGTCCTGCCCACTGAGCTATGGCTCTGAACCTGGAAAACTAACCACCCCCCCCAAATCCTCAAAAGCCCACCGGAACCCACTGACCTTGTGGATCTCAAGAACAGGGTCATAGAGCCGAATATCCTTGAGCAGAGGAAGGGGGAAGCCTTCTGCCAACTTCTCTGGAGGTTGAGGCATAACATGGAGAGAGATTTGTTAATAAATAACAATTATAAATAAAGTAATAGAAAAAAATAAGTTTCTCTCTGCCAACTCTATACACAGTTTATTCCCATTTAATGATCACCAAAGATTATGAGGTAGATAAGACTATTATTTCCATTTTACCGATAAGGAAATTGAGGCACTGAGTGGCCAAGTAACTTGTCCTAGGTCACACAGCCAGAACTGGGATATCAACCCCGGCAGCCTGCTCCAGGAGCCTGAGCTCCCAGCCCTGGTGCTATATGGGAAGAATAGCAGATATGCGGCAGCAGATGCTCATGGTTAAGAAGCTAGTGGGCATCTGCTCTCTGCCCTCCAGCCCCATCCTGCTTTCTGTTGCAGCCAAATGAAGCAGGGCTTTGTGGAAATAGTGTTTAGGGCTTTATGCTTTATTTTCTGACTAGGGAGTTGGCAATTGACTGGGGAATGTGGATTCAGAGATGGGCTGCCCTGTGCCCTCTGTATTAGCTTGGTCCTCAGTCTTTCACCTGCCATTTCAGGGTATAGGGGGCACACTTCTGCAAGTCCCTCCTTCTCTCTTAGGAGGAGGCTTCCTGTGCTCCAGAGAGCAGCCTCAGCCCCTAACCCTCACTAGAGCCCTGGAGGGAGAGGAGACCACCTTCAAAACGCCCATCTCATAGGCCGCTGAAGCTCAAAGAGGAGCAATGATTAACCCAAGATCACTCAACCTGCAGAAGAGTCCTGTTTCCCAGCTCCAAGTCTAGTTACTTTTCCCTCAAAGAGCACTGTCCTCCTTGACATGGAAAAATCCCTAGCAATTCTTACCATTGACCTTGGGGTAGAGGGTGTTGAGAATGTAGTAGTTGAGTAGCGCCTCCAACAGCTCCACCTGGTGGAGAACAGGAGAGATACACTGTGACCACACGTGCCATTTTGCCCACCAATAAGCTTCCACATGGCCACCCTGGGGTGGGGGGGTAGTTCTGTATGTGCTGACATGGCAAACAAGACTGAAAAAAGCAAATTTCAGATAGATGCCTACATCATGCTACTGTTTTATAATATAAAGCTATTTTGATATACACATTTATTTGTGTGCAAAGGGATAGAAACACTTGGAATATTATACACCCAACTGTCTTTCCTCTAGGAAGAACATCAAGGTTTGGCTTAGCTTTATCTTTAATTTTTTTTTTTACAGTTTAATTTTTTTCACAGAATGTTTTCCTGAATTACTTGTGTAATAATTTTTAAAAAAAATTCAAAACAAAAATTATGAAATACAACTTTTAACTCTCATCATATAGCTGGTATAGGGTTCAGAGCATTACATATACATCTGATTCAATTTTTACAATAATCCTCTGAGGTTGCTATCACTGCCCCCATTTCACAGACCAGAAAACCGAGGCCCACAGAATGAAAGTGACATTTAGAAACAGGACAGCAGGGGCAGAATTTGAACCCAGATTTATTTGATTCAATAGTTCTTGCTTTCTGCATTCTATGTTCTGAACACCTGATAAGAGGACTTTTTGTGAATCTTTACATATGGATGTTTTACCTCATAGGACATTTTTACATGCCATGCACAGATGCAATATTAATGTTTCATTACTCACTTCCTCCTTCATTCCCTGAAAGGGGTCATCCTTTGGGGTCCCTGTGGGCAGCGTCTCTCCCTACAGTTTATGTGGTTGTTCCTACTTTGTAAGTCCGTAAGGGAGGGTCTGGGCAGCGCAGGGCAGAGGGAGGCTGGCCAGAGGGGCCAGTGTGGGCAGGATGGTAAAAAGGAAGACAATTATTGCAGGTTAAGGTCTATCCATCTCCTCCCTGGCCTGTGAAGAGGAGCTGCCTTCACCCTGCCTTCCCTCTTGTCAGAAATCTCTCCCTGGTGCATGTGCTATGGTGAGCGCTGTGAATTGTGTAAGACTGATGAATCACAGACCTGTATCTCTGAAACAAATAATACATTATATGTTAAAAAAAAAAAAAAAGAAGACCGTAGGAAGGGAAAAATGAAGGGGGGGCAATTGGATGGGGAGATGAACCATGAGAGACTATGGACTCTGAGAAACAAACTGAGGGTTCTAGAGGGGAGGGGGTGGGGGGGATGGGTTAGCCTGGTGATGGGTATTAAAGAGGGCACGTACTGCATGGAGCACTAGGTGTTATATGTAAATAATGAATCTTGGAACACTACATCAAAAACTAATGATGTAATGTATAGTGATTAACATAACATAATAAAATTTTAAAAATGTAAAAAAACAAACAACAAAAAAGAAATCTCTCCCTGATCACATCAACCCACATTGATTTTCCCACTGTCTTTCTTACTTCTATATGGGGCCATCCATTTTGCCACTTGTTCCTCCTTGTGGAAATCACCTCTTGGTTCAGCCTGCCCAGCAATTAATTCCTCTTGTTTTAATAACAGAGTCCCTATTTTCCCCTGGAGAACCCTCCTTTCCAATCTCAGTCCGTATGGTTTCGGACTGCACATCCTGGCTCCAGGAGTGTAGATGAAACCCATGTTTGGTCAATTGGCCTTGTCCAATTTTTAACCACAGTGATTGGCTAAAGAACGGACACATGACTCAGATTCACCTAAAGAGAGCTAGCACCTGGATTTTTTAAAAAAATTAAACTACAAAATTTTGAGGTTTTCCACCAGTGGGAAAAACCTGTCTGAGGATGAAGCCAACACAGATGAAAGCAGAAGGGAGAGATGAGGAGAGATTCTTGATGCACTAATTTGAGCACCTTGATCCAGTTATGCCTGAAACCTCTTTTTTAATTTGTTTTTTAGTTTCATGACCCTATGAATTCCTCGTGTTGGCTTAAGACACTTCTTTTTTGAGCTTTTATATTTGAGTTTATTCTTCATTTAAAACACTAGTATAGTTGAATATTAAAACAAAAACAATAGCAAGTAGTGAGCTATGATTATAGTCCTTCACTAATTCACTACTGCATATAAAATGCCAGCAGTTTCACTGGCCCCATTAAGGGTCTCACACTAAACACCACCCCTGGGATGATGTTCATCATCCTCATAGGCTTCCCCATTGTAATGGCGCCGTCTTTCCTGATTTGGATCAAAGTCCACCAGTTCTACCTGGTCCATTTCATCAGTCTCTTCTACTTCCTTCCTCTCAGGTAGGAGTTTTTCCAGCAAAGAAAGTTTATCAGGAGAGAGAAAGCCATTCTCAGGAAAGTTTACCTTAAATTCAATGATTAGGCGACCCTTCTCATATGGTCTACGATAAACTGGCATGCCTTCATTTAGCACACACTTGATATCTCCACGCTTGACAATTTGACCTGGGTGAGAGGTGATGACGATGGTTCGGTTGTCAAGAGTAGATATTGGCTTTTGAAAGCCACACAGTGCTTCAACCAGCTGTATGTCCATACACATGAAGAGGTCTTCTCCTCGCCGAGTAAAAAGAGCGTGGTCCTTCTGATCTAAAACAATGATAATATTTCCTGGTTCCAGTCCTGGTTCTTGGTCTCCTTCACCATGGAATGTTATCTTCTGGCCGTCCTTCATGCCTTTGTCAATATGAACTTCTAGAATCTTCTTCTCTCGAACTATCTTCCTCCCATTGCAGCTTTTACATCTGTCTTTGGGACTGATCCGTTCCCCATGGCCCTGGCACTCCATGCACACAGACTGAATTTGCTGAACCATTCCAGGTGCTATCTGATGAATTCTTATTTGCATTCCAGTACCTCGGCAACTGGGACAACATTCGACTGCTCCTTTCTTACCACCTCGGCCTTCACATTTATCGCAAATCACATTCTTTTGCAGAGCTAGTTTTCGTGTTGCACCATTATATAAATCTTCTAAGGTTACTGAGAGCTGATGCACAACATTTTTACCTCTCCTTTCTCTCTGCATCCTTCCTCCTCCTCCAAAAAACATATCAAAGATGTCCATGGGGGAGCCAAAACCACCACCAGCTCCACCTTCTTTAATTGCCTGTTCTCCTCCTTTGTCATATAATTCCCTTTTCTTTGCATCAGAGAGTACTTTGTAAGCTTGAGAAATCTGTTTAAACTTCTCTCCTTCATTTGGATTCTTATCAGGGTGGTACTTCAAGGCCAGTTTCCTGTAGGCCTTTTTCAATTCCTCTTGGGTGGCATTGGGTTTGACCCCCAAAACATCATAGTAAGTGGTTTCTTTCACCATTTTCTACAGCCGGTGAGAGGGCCGAGGCCGGTGTGGGGGAGCGGGAAGGAGCGCATTGCTGGGCACAGCTCAGGCAGCCGCCGCTCCTCCGCGTCTCACCGAGCGTTCTGGAAAGTTCCGCCGGCTTAAGACACTTTTAGTTGGTTTTCTATTCTTGTAGTTAAAAGAATTCTGTCCAACAGACAATTTAATTATATCTTATCTTCTATTGGGATGTAACTGTTCCTTGGCCCTATGGATCATGTCCTCGAGAACTTCTACACTTTTCTACAACAGAGAGTAGCTCTTTTCATTTTTCTATTTTCTCCTCTAGCTGCTATAGCATTGCTTAGTAAACACACTAAATTAGTTAATACCTTAATCACTTCATAAATAAAAACAATGATAACTTACATTGAACACTCCAACTTTAGATTCTTTCAGCTCCACTTGTATCCTATAATGAATCAGAGAAGATTCAGAGATGGGGGCATAATGCCCATGGCAAACCTAAACAATGTAGGGGTCCCCAGAAAGGAGGTACTGGTTTGAGAAGACACAGAGCCAACATAGGGATGGGACTGGAAAAGATGATTAAGACCCAAAACCAGTGATACAACTTATTGGGAAGACTCACAAAGAAGAGGTGGGTAGTGTATGTCAGAAAGTCAATATAGCTGATGTTGAGAATTTACAGATTAAAGAAAAATCAGTATTAATAAATTCTTTAGAAATTTGGAAGTTATGGGGATTAGGTGGAAAGGAAGTTTGTGGAGGCAGGACTAGTGGGGGAAAAGAATTGGGCCAACTGAGGTAAAATTTAAGTTTCCTTCCCCAATGGCAGCCCCTAACATCGAGAAGAAGATCTACTCACATCCGTACCCCCAGCTACAGAGAATCAGCTACAGTGTCCAGATGGAAGGAACCCAGTTGAGTGCCTCCATGTGGGCAGGAGACTGACTTACTTTCCTGGTTTCAGGAACCCAGTGATCTTGCTGGTGTTGAAGGTCAACATGGCGGACATATTAGTAGCCTGGAAATTCCAGTAGAAGAAAACTGGTTTAGATGAGAAAGGCTGTCATGTACAGGATGATAACTATTAGGACCAGCTGTTTCCTTTAAACAAACAACTCAGTGAGTTAAAGCAGGAACTTGTTCACTAGACTGTGGACTCCCAGAAAGCTCATCATAAGTACTCAATACATGTTTGAAATTGGACTTGAACATTTTTTACCTTAAGTTTCTGACTATGATAGTGATTGAACTTTGAATAGACAGACTACCAAGAGGTGTAGAGTGCCTATCTCTGGAGATCTCTAAAGGCATCGTTTCTAGCTATCTTGGGGCTAAGAGTCAGTCCTACTGGTGATAATAATAAAAATAATATTAATAATATTTTGTTTTAATTTATAATATATTAATAACAACAAATTTGACAACAATAACAACAAAATCAAATTGCAGATATAGCATCTAGGAGCAATTACCCTTCCAGAAATTTGTCTTGTTGTGTTTCAAACCTGAAACAAGAGAGCAAAGTTCTCCATCCAGTGAGCAGGAACCCCAAAGGACTCAGAATCCCTTTGCTCTTAGGGTCTATTGAGAGAGACTCCTCTCAATATTTAACTCAGAGGGACTTTAATATAGGGAACTGGTTACACAAGTGATGGAATTGCCAAGAAGCCAAAGAGAACTAGAAGGGCAACTTAGAGACCAGCAGAGGTAGGAAGCTGCTTCCACCCCAGCACTGGAGGAACAGAAGGAGGGACTAGGGTTATGGGAACCACCATGGAAGAGACACAGTCACTGCCTAAACCTCTGTCCAGAACAAAGACAGAGGAAGAAATATTCTGGCTTCTTTCTTCCTCCTGCCCTCTAGTCTCTTGACAGTGTCTTCCATTGGCTGACTTGGTTAGCAGTCAAAGTCCAAGGGATCCTGGGAAGTGTAGTCTTCATGGGTCAGATATAGATGCAGAGCAAACAAGTCAAAGACCCTTATGCTTTCCTCCCAACAATAGCCCCGTCTCGCTTAGTGGGAGATACATACGTTAAGCAAATAAACCTGCAAACAGCTACGTAGGTATCTTTATAATAAATGCTATGCTATGCCGAAAAACAATAGAGTGCTTTAAGAAAAAAAAATGACAGGGGGCCTAAGGTGGTAAGAGACAATCAAAAAAGTCCTCCCTGAGGAAGTGATATTGAAGTTGAGATCTGAAGGAAAGGGAGAGAGCATGCAGAAAAACGGAACAGCATTTGCAAAGGCTTTGAGCCTTACCACACCAAGCTGGAAGACAGGCTCCTTGGCAGAGCTGGGCAGGAGCACAAAGGCTTCAATCTCCATAACGGGAGTCAAGGACAGATTCCCAGGGCTGAAGTTCAGGAATGGGGCAGAGGCCATTGCTCCCTGGAGCTCCAAGTTCATGTTGGGGTACAGTCTGGCTAACTGGGGGCAGAATGAGGATATTATGTCAAGAGAAGGAAATATGCAGGTTTGCCAGGGGGATCCCGAGGGAGTCAGAGAAAGCTGAGAATGCTTTTCGATTGATGTTATTTTCACAAAATGCTCTGTTCCTTTTTCTCTTAATGGTGCACCTGGAGATCTTATCTTGCCCTGTCAGACATCTGGAGTCTGTATTATGTACTTCATGGCTGCATTGGGTTCCATCGGGCATGCGTACTGTAACTGATCTAACCACAGTGAGCATGAGGTAGTCTCCAAGGTTTTGCCCTTATATCTTTTTTTAAATTTTTTATCGTTATGTTAATCACCATACATTACATCATTAGTTCTTGATGTAGCGTTCCATGATTCATTGTTTGTGCATAACACCCAGTGCTCCACGCAGAATGTGCCCTCCTTAATACCCATCACCAGGCTAACCCATCCCCCACCCCCCTCCTCTCTAGAACCCTCAGTTTGTTTTTCAGAGTCCATCGTCTCTCATGGTTCGTCTCCCCCTCCGACTTACTCCCCTTCATTCTTCCCCTCCTGCTATCTTCTTCTTTTTCTTTTTTCTTAACATATGTTGCATTATTTGTTTCAGAGGTACAGATCTGTGATTCAACAGTCCTGCACAATTCATAGCGCTCACCATAGCACATACCCTCCCCACTGTCTATCACCCAGGCACCCCATCCCTCCCACCACCCACCTCTCCAGCAACCCTCAGTTTGTTTCCTGAGATTAAGAATTCCTCATATCAGTGAGGTCATATGATACATGTCTTTCTCTGATTGACTTATTTCACTCAGCATAACACCCTCCAGTTCCATCCACGTCGTTCAAGGTTTTGCCCTTATAATGATCATCCCTGTGAATACCCTTGGCTGTTACGGGGAGGGGTACGTTCCTAGAAGTGGAACTGCTGAATCAAAGGGCAGGATGGGTATTGTCAAGCCTTGGATGTTCAACATGACCGCCTGTCTGAGCTGTGCCTTGGAGGGGACTGGGGTGGTGGGGGAGAGGACAGTGGATTTCTGTGGGATTAAATGAGGAGCTTAGCCCTGTGATGACAGAATTGGCTGTAGCAACTGCTGGAAACAACCCCAGGTCCTTCCTGGGAGACTGGTTAAACCAGCTATGGTGAGTCCATATGATGGCATGCTGGATGCCCATGAGAACATGAGTGAGGAAGCTCCTTTTCTACCTCTGCAGAATGATCTCCCGGAAGAGTAAGGCAAAAAAGTAAGGTACAAAATGGTGTGTATGATATGCCTCCCCTTGTGTACAAAAATGGAAAAGATTCACAGCATTTGTTGGCATATACATAGAATATCCCCAGAAGGAGGTAGGCTCTGGATGGGAACTGGGTGGTTAGGGGCCAGGAGTGGATGGTAAATTTTCCACTCTAGAACCTTTTATGTCTTTTGAATGTTGAACCATGAGAATTTATTATCTGGTCAAAACATAATTTTTAAAGCACCAAAAACAGTGCCTGGTCCCTAGTGTGCCCTCTGTAATTGTCTGATGTTATTAACTAGGGTGTATTTGGCGGGACATGTTGGCATTCCTTGGGATTTTCAGATATCATTGGCAAAATACTGGGCAACCCACGGTCCCAGAGACACAGGGCTCAGGCCTCTGTAGTTGGGCTTTGGAGAGAAGGGGCCCTGCAGCCGGCAGAAGGAAGGCCCTGCCCTCCCTGGGGGTCTCACTGCCAGCCTTCTGACTCTTAGTTAAGCTGAGAGTAGCTCTGTGGTTTCAAAGGGAAACCCCTGGAGGCTAGTGGGCTTGGCCTGCTCCTGCCAAGGTCTGAGAGAAGGCTTACCCTGGGGACGAAGGGGCGGAAGGACTTGGTGGTTAGCCGGATGTTAGAGCCAGGGGGAACCTGCAGCAAAGAGACACAAAGTTTTAGGGTGCTCCCGCCGGAACTGAAAGTCTGAGAAAGATGGGGAGGTTGGGGGGGGAATGTTCAAGACTGTGGCTTCTTTGACTACCTGGGTTGCCATAGCAACAGTGAGATGCCTGCCCTGCACTCACCACAAGCACCAGTTGCCAGGGTCCCGTCTGCTCTCCTTGGCACATAGGTGACATGTGGGACACACTCAGAGGGTCTGTGAGGGTGAGATTTGTAGACATCAGGACCTAGGTATGGTTCCTGGCTTTGTTCCTGTGTGGTCACAGGCCAGTCCCTTCACCTCTCTGAGCCTATCATGAGGTCATCGTGAGGGCTAAATGGGACAGTGTAAACACAGCACCTACACAGGGCCCAGCGCATAGCTGTTATAAAACAGCTATTATGACCAATCCACTAAAAGAAAGGACAGCACCACAGATGGGGTGCCTTATTCAAGCATGATAATAGACGTAAAAGGCCTGTGGAAGGGTGAGAAATCACCCAAAAGACCACAAGCCACCCCCCCCACCCACTAGACGGGCTCCCATATTATCAGAGCCAGCTGGACCGTCCAAATGGGGCTGCGCTGTGTTTCCCTCATCATCCTGACATTGTTCACGAGGCCTCAGCTTTACAAAAAGCTACAAGAAATAATCTTCTGAAACCCAGAAATTTTAAAGAAACTTGAGAATTATTAAAGATGCGATCCACTATAAAATTTAATATTCTTTATACAAAGCCCCATTTGAAACACTTGTCTCAGAGGTAAGTCCTAGGAAGACCTTGTCTCTCCTTTCACCATGAATCGCTAAATCATGGACCTTTTCTACTCTGGCTACAAGGAAGCTCTCAAATAGATTTTTTTATTTAAAAAAAAATCAACTTATGGGCACAGTGTTTTCATAACTGTACTTTACTTTTAACTTGGTCTTAATTTCCTATTCAATATAACTTTATGCATTTATTAGTGTATCTATTATCCTGCCTCATTTACTAAATTTTTAAAGTTTTTTTTTTAAACCTCTACAAACCAAGCAGGAGAGAAAATATGAATTAGAACAACAGGTCTAGATGGGGGCAAAAGTAAAATCCAGACAGGGAAGTCATAGTCTTTCACAGTTCTAAGGGAGAAAGGATTTTTGACTCGAGCTTCCTGGCAGCCAAAGTGAAAAGGAAAATTGTGCTAATTTATGTATTTCCTTGTCTGACTCTTTCTTCTCAGAAACTTTCTATTTCATTGATGTAAACGGGGTGGGAAGGAAAGAAGGAAGAAGGACAGGTTACCCTGTCATTTGTGAGTGCTATTCTGCCACCATCCTCACCATGTCATCTGTGATGGAGAAGTTCAGGAATCCTGCCTCATGATAAACCACGCTGGCTGTGTTGAAGACATAATCAGAGATGGCAAAATAGACCATTCGGTTGTATTGCTCAGGAAGGCTCATGACAGGAGCAAGGAAGCTGACAGGGGAATAGTGCTCACGGTTAAAAATTTCACCCTGGAGAGAGAAATAGGATGCGTTTGAACTTTTCAAAGTCTACCCCAGCACTGGACATCTGAGCTAGGCAGTTGCTTATATAGCCCGAGGAGGGGGCACTGGCAAGTCACTGTCTGAAACTACCATTAAAGGTATTTTCCTTTGGGTCAAAGTGTTGTGTGTCCAGAATCTATAAATGAAAAACTCCCCAACTTTGGCGTTTTAACCCATAGTACCCTCTGCACCGGCTAGCCCAGTTCTGATTGACCTCACCTGCCTGGTGGTCAAGAGGAAGGAGGGGAAGACGGTGGGTTTCAAGGCTGAAGGCTTGTAAGACAACTGTTGGAGCCCTGAGCCCCACCACTCCATATTGTCCTGCCCTCAACACCGCTAGAACCCCTGGGGAGATGAGGACAGACCTGAAGCCAGAAAGATGGGAGGCCCCAAGTAAGGGCTGGCCATGAAGGTATGCTACGCTGGGGCCAAGCCTACCCACGCCCCTGCTCTAGGACTCTCACCTTAAACATCACGTCCAGCATTTGGGCTGTTGCCTGAGGGGCTTCCATTAAACTGTAATCAATACGAGCGAAACTGTCGATCTCTGTTGTGACTGTGAACCAGGAGAGGGGCAGGATTAGGAGCCAGGTGATGGGCGCTCTGACTGATCCAGACGCTTGTCACATTCTTCAAGGCCCCCTGCCCCTCTGCCTCAAGACCTTCTACCCAGCCCAGCCCTGGAGCGAAGAGCTGCTCCTCCAAGAAAGAGAGGACATGGTTCTATTGTCCCACTGGTGGGTTAGCCATGAAGGGGGTAGTATGCTCAGCCTGGAGCCTGAGTGGGTTCCAGGTCTCTCTCTCTCTCTCTCTCTCTCTCTCTCACACACACACACACACACATCTGAGGGCAGGAGGAGCCCAGTTCTGGCAGCCCCTCCACACCTGGACCTTCATGCTGAAGAAGCCACAGAATGGGGAGAATTCTCCAATCAAGCGAATTGTTCCCTAGTTTCCAACTGAGACCTTCATCTTCAGGGAAACTGGCCTCCTATCAACACAGTCCAAATAACCAGGAAAGTCAGGCCATGTCCAGAGGGCCCAGAAACTGCCCTCCAAAGCCCTAGGGGAATGAGAGTCCTGTGTCCTATGTACTAGGTTGTCTGTGGCTGCCTGGGCCTCCCCTGAAAGACAGCTGCCAACAAGTGAGGGTAGGGCCCGGGGGCCAGGTCATCACAGAATACCTCAGACACATCCATATGATGGAACACTACATTGCTACTAAAACCAAGTCTGTGGCAACCATTTTGGAACACTGGAAGGATCCGATAATGTAGAACCTACGTCTGCTACATGAGCCTACGGTCGCTCTCCTAGGTATATATCCAAAGACATGTGTCCATATGTACTAGAATATTCATAGCAGCACCACCCATAATGGTCCCAAAGTGAAACTCCCCAAATGGGCTTCAACAGCAGAATGGATAAACAAAGGGAGGGACACCCACACGGTGGAGCAGCGCCCAGCAAGGAGAATGAATGAACTCTCTCTATGCAGCAGTATGGATCAACTTCATCTTTTAGAATTGAGCAAAGAGAACCTTCTGCTCTTGATAGAGGACTCAAAATACTACGTGGTGCCCTTCGCGTACAGAGTGCAAAACTAATCTTTCCTGGGAGAAGTTGGGATAGTGGTTTTCCTTCAGCAGCGGGCAGGGGCAGGAGCTGGGAAGGGTTCTGAAAGTCCCATCACATTCTGTTTCCTGCTCTGGGAGCAGGGACAGGCCTGTGCTCAGTTTGGCAAAATTCTTTAAGCTGTTCACCTATGACTTGAACACTTTTCTCTCTATATATACCTCCACAAAAAGTTTTTTTTTTTTAAAGATTTATTTATTTGAGAGAGAGAATGAGCAGGGAGAATGGCAGAGGGAGAGGGAGAAGCAGACCCCTCGCTGAGCAGGGAGTCCAATAAGGGGCTTGATCCCACGACCCTGGGATCATGACCTGAGCCGAAGGCAGACGCTTAACCGACTGAGTCACCCAGGTGCCCGAAAAAGTTTTTTAAAAATGAGATAAATTTATGTGTGCTAATATAGAAAGATGTCCAAGGTATGTAAGTTACAAAAGAAACAATGTCTACTATGTGTAGACTGATATATGTTCATAACTTGGCACATATACATGTATTCATGAACGAAAGGAATATATAATGAATGCATGTTTGAATGATTATGTATATTTATATTTTTATATACAAAAGAAAATATCTGAGGGGTGACACCCCAAACAGAGGTTACCTCTTGGAAGAAAATTTGGGGAGGAAGGGATACTTAAAAATTATTACTTTTGGGGCACCTGGGTGGCTTAGTCGGTTAAGTGTCTGCCTTCAGCTCAGGTCATGATCCCAGGGTCCTGGGATCGAGACCCACATCAGGCTCCCTGCTCAGAGGGGAGTCTGTTTCTCCCTCTGCCTCTCTCTCTGTGCTCTCTCTCTCTCTCTCTCAAATAAATAAAATCTTTAAAAATAAAAAAATACAAAGAGTTAAAAAAATTATTTTCTACACTTCTGTCCCATTTAATGTTTTCTAAGGCATGCTTATGTGCTTATATAAATTAATAGAATATCCCAGGGATGGGTGGAGTAGCCTACCTGGCAGAGTTTGGAGATAAGGCTGTAGGTCCGAGGTCACCGAATTCTGGAGCATTTCGCAAATCTGAAAAATGCAGAAGGAGAAAGGCTGAGCGGGCCCCCCACTGTGCTAATTGCTGTAGTCATCATTCATACATCAGCCCATTGGTCGATTCCACAAAAATGTATCAGTGCTCATCACGTGCCATGTGCCAGGGAACAGAAATGATCAAAAACATGCAGGTCCCCATGTGGACCTCAGTGGGGCCCATCCGGACCTTTCCAAGTTTTTCCCGGGGCTGGACATCTGAGCTAGGTAGTCAGCTACCCAGCCGGGTAGGGTACCTTGGCTGGAGGCACTGCCTGAAATTCCAGCTTGAAAAATACTTTCCTTTGTGAGGTGCTGGCCCCCCCTGCCCAGAATTTAGAATTGAATAGCAGAACTGGACGGGTCAGTAGAAATATATAGGTGTGTACTTAGTAGATACTTCTCAAATATCATCACTTCACAGGTTGGCTGGACGGATCTGTATTCCACGTTTCCCCTGATGCTTGTGTCCTGGAGGCCACCACACGGTAGGCACACACACTTCGTGGCCGCCACTTGAGTGGCATGCTTCTCAAGAAGAGGGAATGTGTGTTCCCAAACCTGGTGGCTATATTTGCTCTCATAATCGCTTGGAATATTTATTGTGTAAACCAATGAAATATGACCGAGAAAACCTAAGTACTTGGGAAAGGTGAGCTGCTTAGAGAAATTTCTTGGTGTGCGCAAGAAAAGGCTTAGGAGGAAAAAAAATCATAAAAATCTAGAAGGATTCTGCACTGGGATTGCTTTGCAAATGTCTTTGAATTCTCATTGTGGTTAAAGAAATCTGAGCTGGAATTTGTAGCAGATCGATGTTTCATGCATGGAAGACAAAGTCCAATGTCAATCAGGAGCCTATTTTGAAAGAACAGTTCTGGGCCCTGTGTCACAATATGACAAATGGATTTATATTTACTGCATCTTAAAACATTTGGATTTACATGTAAATATTTTCTTTGTTCGTGCATGTGTGTGTGTGTCCCCACAGTACATAGTTGTTTTGATTAAGGGGCCACACCACCTTCTGCTCAGACAGATCCACGTATACGAGGAAGGAGAGGTATACAGGGGGGCTCCATGAGCATGGGAGGTGGCATTTTAAGGGCAGGTAAAAGGGTGAGCAGACATGAATCAGGCATGGGGATGTGGGGAAACTCTATGCTGGGGGTTGGGCAGGCAAGAGGTGAAATCTTAACCTTCCTTTGCAGACGGCTTAGTTTTGGGAAAGGAGTTTGGTCGCAGGTTGCCACCAAAAAGCAAAGAATGGAATGATGAGGGACAGTCACGGTTGATTTCACGGGAACCAGGAAACTGCTGGCCTCACTAGAGACTGTTCTCTTCTTGCTTTTCCTTCAGACAAAAGCCCATCAGATCTTCCTAAAGGCCCCCCTGGATGCCCCACCCCTGAGGGGACTTGCATGATGGGGGAGGGAAGGCCTTCGGCCCTCAGTCCCAGACTCATCACAGGGCCTCCTAGAGAGGCAGGTTAAGGGTGTCGTAGGTAAGTTAAACAAACCTGGGTTCAAATCCTGTCCAGTCCCCCACTGGCTGTGTGACCTTTGCAGAATCTCTCCCTGTTTTTGAGTCCTCACCCACAGGATACAGTGACAAGGCCAAGTGCTTCCCAGGGAGTTTTAGGGGGTGAGGGGCTGAGACAGTGAGTCTATATGGCCCAGAGAGCAAACATGCAGGAAGTGGTTATTCTTAGCCCTGCTGGTCAAATACCATCAGTGGGGAATTTGAAAGATCCTGTACCAGTCTCTTTGTTTTCGCAGGTTGCCGCCAAAAAGCAAAGAATGGAATGATGCGGGACAGTCATGGTTGATTTCACGGGAACCAGGAAACTGCTGGCCTCACTAGAGACTGTTCTCTTCTTGCTTTTCCTTCAGACAAAGGCCCATCAGATCTTCCTAAAGGCCTAAAGAAGGAAATTTCTGAAGACCCATAAGGGTCAGGGATCAAGTGAGATCTCCATCTTTCCCAAGACACCCAGCCCCTAGAAGGCCTTTGGTACAAGCTGCTCCATATTCTAGGAAGTTTGAATGCTGACCCAGCTCCTCACCAGCAAGGTGACCCCTGGGCAAGTTACTCCGCTTCTCAGAGTCTTCTTGGTCAAATGCAGAAAACGGCACTTTCTTCAAAGCTTGTGGTTAAGATGGATGGTATATTCAGTTGTTGAATGCTTAACACACTACTCCTGGCCAGGCCACATGCTCAATAAATAGCCGCCATTGTAATAAATAAGAATAGTTATACAGTGGTATTTTCTGTATCACATTAATGATATTAAGTAATCAAAGCAAAATTAATTATATGTATAAAAATTAATTAATAATTATATTATTATATAACATTATTGCTAATCTTTATTTGCACCGTCATCAACAGGGCAGTATAAAAGCACACTGCTGAAGAATACTATGTCCTACTGAGAAAGGCATGGCAACATGGAAGTGAGGTGCTCAAGAAGGAGGCTGGCATATTTCTCAGGCTCACCTAGACCCCAGGACCCCAAAACAAGAAAAGGAACAGAATGCAGTCTGCCACTCCCCATCTCTGGGGTCTGTCTGCTATTCCCACTTCAACCACCAGGGGCACAAGACCAGCCGTGGGCCTCAGTGGAGCGTGTGTGCGTGTGCGCGTGTGTCTATGTGTGTGTGTTCCTCTTTCCTCTTTCATGACCTTCTCCCTTCCGAAGCACAGTCTTTGCTACAGACACAGCTCCGGGTCCATGATACCTCAGAAATGGGATTTTTGGGGTGAAGTATTTGTTAACACGAAACCTCTTTGTTTTGTCAGAGATTTCAAAATTTGGGAGATTTCACACTTTCTTAATGGGAAAAAAATGACACCGTGCTGCCTTCCCCTCCAGGGCAGGTGCTTATGAGCACACCCAGGTAGGAACCAAGGCTCCAATCTGGTTCTCACATTTCCCAAGTGTCCTGCTTTGTGTCTGCAGGCCCCTAAGTGCTGATTTCCTTTTTGGCCTTGTGGAGTGCAGGGCATTTGGGGGTGGGGGGCAGTGAGCAAGGTCAAGGAGAGGGAGGGGCAGGAGTCTCTGTTCACTCCCGCTGTTTTACCATCCGCTGAACATCGAACCATTCTCTGCCTCACTAAACACACTTGGAGTCCAGGGACCTACATTTTGCCCCAGCTTGGCCACGCTCCATGACCTTGGGCGAATGATTTGTCCTCTCTGGGCCTTGGGCCTAAATATGTCTGGGCCAGTCAGCCTGGCCATCCAGGGCCAGAAAGACCCCAGAGATGGGGAGTGGCAGACTGCATAACTGCCAGTGAGGGTGTCCACCTAGGCCTTGAGTGACACAGCAGATGCCAGCAGCTTGGACATTCCTACCTTGCTCTCCAATACTCTGCGGAACCTGGACTCAATTTGGTTGTGGAAAAGATTCAACAGCCACCTGGGGAGAGAACAGTGGACGGTCAGCTGTGTGTCACTGAATGCAGGGACAGTGAGGCAGCAAAGACTGGCCCTGGCTTCTGACCAGGCCGGTCCCCAAGGGAGCCCTCCTCCCCCCCTCCTGGGACCCTGCTGTGTCTCAGAATCCGGACAGGATGAAAATGCAGAGTCCCAGCCCCCAGCACACTCACTGATTCAGCGCATCTGGCATCCCAGCCACCTGTTGCCCCCAGTCAGATTCAGTAGATTTAGGGGAGAGGCTTGAGAATCCACATATTTCTAATCAAGGAAACTGAGGCCCAAAGATACGTCCCCGAGGACTTGTACATTGTCCACAGACTCTCCTGCGGCCAAAAGCCCTTGTGTTCCTCTAACAGATTTCATTCACCTGATGGTGGTCTCCACCAGTATTCCTGGCTCGAGCCTGCATCTGTTAATCTCAGCAGGGTCCCACAAAGAATGACCTCCAAGTGCCTGTGATGTGCCCCTGCATTACACCTGGACATACATGTTTATCAGAGGCCAGGCCTTGGGCTGGATGGGCCTCGGGCTGCACCCAGGGGTCAAGCGGGCCAGTGTCCCAGTGGTGACTTACCCCAAATCTCCCGATATGTCCACTTCCACGTCTCGAATGTGGCTGCTGCAGCCGGAGGCAGTGACGGTGGGCCTCCCAGAGGGCTCCCTGCCCAAGACAAGGTTGACCGAAATGGTAATGCCCTTGACCTGCACATCAAGGGAGCCATGTAGTTTCCTGGAGGAGATAAGAGAAGCAATAATCCATTCCTAGACTAAGATCAGCCACCATTTGTGGGTAAAATATGAAGCTCAATTCTTACCCCAAAATAAGTGGAGCTGGAATAAAAATTTAATTGGGAAAATTATTACAAAGTAAGGATTTATTACAAATAAGACCATAAAAGATCAGGAAGAAAGCCTGGGTCTAGTTATTTCTGGGAACGGGTGAGCAAAAGCCTTTCTACGTAGGATCCAAGTCTCAGGAGGCTTAAAGGAAATGGTTGATAAACTTGCCAGCAATAGAAAATTAAAACTTCAGTGAACAAAAAAATGCCATATTCAAAGTAAAAAAAGAAAGAAAGAAAGACTCTGCATGGTGAGCCAGCCAAAGAGCTAATTTCCTTAATACACAAAGAACAAGCTCATAAATTAATAAGGAAAGGACAAAACAACCCAAAAGAAAAAAAATTAAAAAGAGGGATCAAAGATATCAAACAGGAAGTTCAATTGCAACTAAGCATATGAAACATTATTAAAAATGAAAATAACAATGATGCCAGTTTTCACCTGTCGGATGGAAGTTCTGAAGTTGGAGTAGGTATGGGTAAACAGAGGTCCCAGGGGCTGCAGTGGGGAGAGCACCTCTGGAATATAGACTGCTGGGATCCATCCTCACGCACATGTCTTTGGTCTAGGAATTTTACTTCTAAGGCTTTACTCTGCAGCTCTTCCTGCCCAGATATGAGTGGGGCAGCTCATGGAAGCAGCATGGGTCATAGCAAAAAGTGATGAACCACCTAAATGTCAGCTAGTAGGGACGGGTTCAGTAAGTCATAGGCATCTATGCCACGCAGGCTTTAAAACAAATGAGAGTAGGGGCACCTGGGTGGCTCAGGCAGTTAAGCGTCCGACTCTTGGTTTCGGCTTCGGTCATGATCTCAGGGTCGTGAGGTTGAGCTCTGCATTGGGCTCTGTGCTGAGTGTGGAGCCTGCTTGGGATTCTCTCCCTCTCCCTCTGCCCCACCCTACTCCTTTCAAAAAAAAAAAAAGAATAAGGGTGAATGTGGTCTATCTGCACAATGAAATATTACTCATCCATAAAAAGGAATAAAGCACTAATGCATGCTACCATATGGATGAACCTCAAAAATCTTATGATAAATGTAAGAAGCCAGACACAAAATGTCACTAATGAGGTTTCTTCTGTTCTTTTTTGTACCGAATCCTCAAATCTGATGTTTCATGCTTATAGCAGATGTCAATTTGTACCAGCTACTTTTCGAGTGAAGACACGTGGCTAGAAGTTACTGTATTGGACAGTGCAGGTCTATGAAAAGAAGGGCCATATGCACCCCACTGTTCACAGCAGCAATGTCCGCAATAGCCAAACTGTGGAAAGAGCCGAGATGCCCTTCAACAGAGGAATGGATAAAGAAGATGTGGTCCATATATACAATGGAACATGACTCAGCCATCAGAAAGGATGAATACCCAACTTTTGCATCAACATGGACGGGACTGGAGGAGATGATGCTAAGTGAAATAAGTCAAGCACAGAAAGTCAATTATCATATGGTTTCACTTATTTGTGAAACATAAGGAACAGCGTGGAGGACATTAGGAGAAGGAAGGGAAAAATGGGGGGGTGGGAATTGGAGGGAGAGATGAACCATGAGAGAGAGACTATGGACTCTGAGAAACAAACAGTGTCTTAGAGGGGAGAGGGGAGCGGGGCTGGGTTAGCCCGGTGATGGGTATTGAGGAGGGCACGTACTGCATGGAGCACTGGGTGTTACACGAAAACAATGGATCGTGGATTACTACATCAAAAATTAATGATGTATTGTATGGTGACTAACATAACATAATAAAATTAAAAAAAATAAAGTATAAAGTATAAATATGGTCGGGTCACCCAGAAAAGACTGGTCAACCCTCCTGTTATGGGCTGAATTGTGTGCCCCCACCCAGATTCATCTGTTGAAGTCCTTAACCCCAGGACCTCCAAATGTGACTACATTTGAGGCAGAGCCTTTAAAGAATTGATGCCATTACAATGAGACGATTAGGGGGACACCTCGCTGGCTCAGTCAGTGGAGAATGCTGCTCTTGATCTCGGGGTTGTGAGTACGAGCCCCATGCTGGGTGTAGAGATTACTTAAATAAATAAACTTAAAAAAAAATGAGGCCATCAGGGTGGGCCAGAATCCAATCTGACTGGTGCCCTTATAAGAAGAGGACATGGAGAGAAACTGGGGTGCATGCACACAGAGGGACAACAATGCGAGGTTACGGCGAGAGGGCCACCATGAGCAAGTCAAGGAGAGAGACCTAAGAAGAAACTAGGCCTGCTGACACCTTGATCGTGGACCTTGGATCTCCAGAAGTGTTGCTGAAACCACCTAGTCCGTGATATTTTAGTATGGCAGCTGGAGCAGACCAACCCACCTTCCATCCAAGGACCCTGGAGGTCGAGAACAGTTCAAAGTGCTGGGGAGATCCTGCCCCTGGGAGCCCCCCTTGACCAGCGGCAAACAGGAAGAAGTGGTCATAATGGCTGAGTTGGGGTAACTCAGAGGTGTGCTCTGCCTGCATGGTCTCCAGAGGTCCCCAGGAGGGCTGAGCTCCAGTCGGCTGCCCAGCTGACTTCCTTCCCTCCCTGCCTCCCTTTTCCACCCCCATGGATGTTTCCTTAGGTCATTTCCCAGATAAAGTACTTACGCTTGAATTCTTGTCTTAGGGTCTGCTGTTGGGGAAAGCAAGCTAAAAAGACACAGAATTCTCTCATTTAGGTCACCCACAACCCTATCAGGAAAGCATGAGAAAGGAAGAGACTCAACTAAGAGCCAGGCCTCGGACCCCTGTGGGCTCTTTCCATCCACCATGGGGCCTTTCCGATGAGCTAGGAACACCTTGCACCCAAGAAGGATGGGACAAAGGCCAAGGCCAAGGGCCCAAGAGCCTGGGAGCATACTCCACTTACACGAATGCTTTGCGCACCTTCCACTCGCTCTGGACTCTGATGAAGGAGTCAGAGATGGTGAGACTCAGGCCCTGGCCGGGCAGGGGCGTCAGAGCAGAGCCACGCAATTCACAGCTGTGGATGCTCAGGCTGAGGAGAGAGACACAGAGAGCACGGCGTCAGCCCCAGCTTGGCTCCCGCCTCACCCCGTGGGGACTTGGCTGGCAGAGCGGGTTCTAGGCAGGCGTGGGGCACCCCCCACTTCCTGAGCGCCTGAGGCGTGCTCTGTGCTGACCATGCGGCCATGCTAAGTGCGTTGCATCCTTTATGTCACCTGTGCCTCTCAGAGGGGTCAGCGCTGTTCTTGTTCCCTGTTTACAGAGGCGGAAATAGAGATGCATTTGCCCCAAGTCACACCGTCGGGATCAGAGCCCGTGAAGGTCATGATCCTGGGTGGGATCCGGAATAGGGCACTTCGGCACACCCCTTTGGGTTTGCAGCTCCTTCTTGGAGCCATCCTCTCCCTCGAGAGATCCAGGTGGGGGATTGGATTCAGGGAAGGCCGAGGCCCGCCCCAAGAAAAGGAACAAAGTGCTGGGAGAAACAAACCAAGACGACACACATTGCGGGGCCGTCAGTGGGAAAACAGTGGTCAAGTTCCATTTGATATGCCTGGCACGTGGTAGGTGCTCAATAAATGTTTGCTAATGGACTGAATTAAAGAAAGAATGAGTGGAGCTATCAATGGTAGTGGGCAGGCAGGGGGTGCTGAGCTGTGACTCGATTGCCCTCCTCCATCACCTGTTGCTCCACAAGCATTTTATGCCTTTTTTTGGCATCAGCTGCTCATGTCCAGTGATCCTTTGAAGACTCAGCTCAAATGCCCCTGCCTCTGGGAAGTTTTCCTTGACTCCCCTGGGTGGGCAAACCTTAGCTCTAACAGTCGGGCTACTATATTTAAAGTTTAAGGTCTATCTTCCCTTCTGGACTACATGCCGAGGCCAGGCCGAAGCCTGGATTATCACAGTGTCATCCCCATTTTGCAGATAAGGAAACCGAGGCTCAGATCACACAGCTAGTAGGTCTTCATTGATATTTGCTGGATGAATGAATAAATGAGGGAACCTAATTCCCTCCCAGGACTTCGCTCTGAACACTGCGAGGAACTCTCCCATAGCTGCCCCAAGGAAGTCCTGGGGTTCTCCCTCCCCGCCCTCCAGAGCTCCACCCCTACTCCCAGCCTCCTCAGGGCCCCAGCAGAAGGGAGCCTCACCTGTGGAACCCATAGTGCCCTCGGCCAAAGGGCTTGATTTTGAAGTCCCCGGTGAAGTCAGGCAGCGTGATTCTGAGCAGTTCCTTCTGCAGAACCATCGACCCCTCCCTAGCCACTGTGGACAGGAAAAAAGCTGCAAGTCAGCCCAGCTTGCCTGCCTGCCTCCCCTCTAAAAGACAGTTACAGACTATTGAGCCCCTGTTGCGTACGAAGTGACATGAGAAACAGGAGCATCACTGCATTTCACGTGGCGCTGTTATGTGGGTGCCCAATTTGTGGGGGAGGGAACAGTGTCTTTGTCAACAACCCCACAAGGGGAGGAGTGCTGTGTGCGTGGGTGGGTGCTCCTCTGTTCTGTCCTTCCCAGCGTCTAGCCTGTGCAGAAGACACTGTAGGGATTTGAGGGAGAGAATCCTGGCGCTGGCATCTCTCTAGCAGGGTGACCTTGAGGAAGGCTTCAGCTTCATCTTCTCCATGGCAATGGCAACAGAACTTTCTTTACTGGGCTGGCATGAAGATTAAAGGAGATCATTGCAGAGCACAAAAGGGGTGTGGGGGGGGGATGACACGCACTCCTAGCTTGGTGCGTGGCCCACGCCAGGCACTCAGGCCTGGAACAGCAAAGCGGGGTTTATGTTATTAAAAATATGGAAACGACCAAAATGTCCAACTCTAGCCAATTGGCAAAGTGAACATGGTACAATCAATCACACAGTGGAAAGGAACCAAAGGCAAATTTTGCCTGATTTAGGATTTCAATATAAACAGCTCTTACTAGCACTCGTTGTTTGTTCAGATATATGAGGGACCCAGGATTCTGCCCTCAAGGAGCGCATGTATACACAGAAGACCAGGGGCCTCCTCTCTTTCCAACTGGCACTCCTCCCTTGAGAGAATGCCCGTGCCAGTCCTTCTGCCAGAATGCTACCGCTTGTCCCTGGCCAAGTGCCACTCATCTTTTGTACCTCCCTGAAACTCCTCCAAGAAGCCTTCCCTGATTTCCTTTCCTCTGCTCCCAACAACCCTACCTGGGGAAATGTTATTACCCCATTTAACAGATTAGGCAGTTCAGGCTCCACAAATATGAGGAGAGCTCTGGTTCAGTTATCGCGGGGAGTGGTGTATAAACGACTCAGCTCCCTACTCTCTGGATGGATGGATTCTGATGCTTTGTTTCAGCATCTTTTTCAAAAAGTCGTCCTATTTTTGTTCATTCTCTAAAATTGAGATATACATAAAAGACATTGCCAGATAACTTTTAGATGTTTCTGCAGCCACGTAGCCACCCCTCAGAGCCAGCACCCCCGCAGGCTCCCTCTGCCCTCTCTGGATCACAACCTTCCTCTGGAGGTCATCACCATTCTGCCTTCTAGATTTAAGACATATGTTTTCAAACCCTACCAAGAACTTTCTGGTGGAATTGTCCCAGTCAGTGGGTAGTGGCTGGGTTCATAACACACCTCTCCTGTCTTCTGGTGGCTCCCCCTTCTCAGCTCACCTTCCCACTCTCCTGCACTGTATCCTGGAAACTTTCTCCCAAATCAACGCTTGCTCCAAATCCTTCTCCCCGTCGGCTAGTAGGGGCCCAGAACTCAGACAAGTAACATGCCCAAGTAGCTCCAGAGCAGTCTGGCGCCCGGCAGGTCGGCCAAGTCCAGCCAACAGCCATATCTTCTTACCATACTCTAGGCCCTTGTCGGTGATCCTGACCACCAGGCCGGGGTTGGTACCCAGGGCGTCTGGGGTGGGCGTGAGCAGTAGTCTCAGCAGTAGAGAAGGCAGGGCCTGAGCCAAGGCCCTCATCCTGGATTCTCCTGGATTCCCAGTGTAGTGGCCCCAGCGGGCCCCACCCCCCTTAAGTAGCAAGGGGGCTGAGGCAGGGGTGGCTCCTGAGCGGGGGCGGTTCCTGGGATCGTCGCATCGGGAATGGGAGGCACAGAGACTGGAACTTGCTTGCAACACTGCTGGGGTCATGGGTCATGTTTAGAAGCCGGTTGCTGGGTGGGTTGGCCTGGCCCCAGGTGACAATCTGTGTCCACCCTTCCCACAAAAAGACCCCACATTCATTGCTGGGAAGGCCTGGGGTTACAGACTGGGAGGCTCAGGGAGGTCATGGTACTCCCTCAAGATCCCACACCTGGCAAGTGGTGGAGCTGGAAGTCAAAGCCGGGTCTGGGGCCAGCCAAATTCTTATCTTTTTTTTAAACAAACAGAGTTGAGTTTAAAGAAATCTTTTCGCCATGCCCCCGTGGGAAACCAGGCTTTCTCAAACCTTGCTGGTGGTAACATTTTCTGGAAGGCAGCTTGGCAAATCTTTAAATGCTTTCATGCCTGGTAACCCTGAAGTTCTGCTTCTGGAACGTCAGTACATACTGACATCAGTGTGCAAATAGGCCACTTCACCAAGGCGCCCATCGCTGCGCTGCATGGAGCAGGCAGGCCAGCAGTGGGACCCAACCTTCAGGGTCCAACAAGAGGACACTGGCCAAATTAATTATGGTACATTTAAAAGTGAGGCTGCAGAAATAAATGTATTTCTTGATCTGGAAAAATGCTCATGAGGGGGCAGTTTCCAATGACACCGTATAGTGAGGTTCTGAACCAATGTTTGCCAGTCTGGAAAATTTTTAGCAAGGAGTTATGAGGGATTGTCTCTGTTTAGACGGGCAGGAGTGTTTTAAAAATCGTTTTGTTTGTTGGTATTTAAATTTTTTATTTTCTTGGGGGACATGTTGTATTCGCAGTAAGTAAAGATAATAAAATTTCATTGAGGAAACAAAATTTATAATAAGGATTGTGCTTAATTCATAGGGATTCCTCCCCTCTCTCCACCCCCTCCCCAGAGATCCTATATTTGTGAATTTTGTTCTGCCTCCACCTCCAGGAAGCCTTCTCTGATCACCCCCACATTTCCCTGGATTAGAGAGAAGTCTTCCACTGAGGTCCCAGAATATCTGCATTTTCTCCATCATAGCAGTAACCACTCTGCTTTTTTGTAACTGTGGTCCTTTAAAAATATGTCCACAAATTCTTTTATACTCTTTCCATCAAAAGGTGGAGTCTCTGTATCCTCCCACTGACATTGGGTTGGGTCTCTGTGATCACCTCAACAGATCAAATGTGGCAGGAGTAACAGTTTCTTCCCAATGGGTCATAAAAGGCATTGGAATTGGTTAAGATCAGAACCGCCCCACCATGGAACACAGGGAAGCCTACAGTCTGGATCTCTCGGCTCCTCTGTCCCCTGTTGTTGGTGTCCTTTGGGTTGAGGTTTGTTGGGGGTCCCTTGCACACCACCCCCGGCCCCAGCCTGCGTGCTCCTGAGGGCAGGGCTGAGGCTGCAGAATCCCGTGATCCCTGCAGCATGGGGCGGGAAGGGGCAGGAAACCAGGAGCTATGAGCTCCTGCCCTGTGCCGGGCTCCACGCTGGTTGTGCATATACCTCTCGGCCCTCTAACGCACGCGTCTCTGTCTCATTTTAGCTGAAGGATCTGAGGCTCAGGGAGGTGAAGTGATTTTGGTCACAGTCACACGGCAGGAATTTGAATCCAAATCTGTGGATGTCATTCCAAAACGATGGTCCGGGAAGGCTTCTCTGAGGTGACGTGCTGAGCTGAGACCCCAAAGATGAGCAGGAGCCATACTCTGGAGGAGCCACTCCAGGCCAAGCCAAGGGCAAGGACAAAGCCTGGTAGCAGGCAAGGCTTCCCCCTGCGTCAGGGGCATCTGCTTCCCAGACTCAGCCTGCGGAGGTGGGGAGGGGCCCTGGGCTGGGAGCTGGGAACCAGGGTTCTGACATGGCTTAGCTCCTGCCTGGTGTGTGACCCTCAGCAAACCCGTGTCTTCCTTGTGCCCCTGTTTGCCTCTGTAAAATGAGGGAGAAAGGGCAGGTGACTCCCGTGTAGAGTAGGGGAAGACGGTCTGGAGAGTGGGGACCGCCTGGGGACACCAGTTGTCACTCCTCGGTAGCAGTCTGAGGATGTCCCAGACTGCGGGCCGTTGGCAGGGGTGAGAATTCCCACAGAAGTGGCCTTCGGACGCTGCCCAGCCAGCCAGCGTGCCACATGGCCCTAGGCCAGGCCTCCACCCCCACAGGTGCCCACCCGTGGCTCAAGGTCCCTCCTGGTGACCTGGGACCCAACAGAGGCTCCAGGAGCAGCGTGACTGCAAGTCTGCTCAGAACCCCTGGGCCTTTCTTCTCCCAGGCTGTCCATCTGCTGCCGGTGATTGATGCATTCTGATTACAAAAGTGTTGGTAGAAAGAGTTTGGAAAACCCAGAATTTGGAAACCGCAGTGCCTGGAATATGGAGTGGTACCTAGGAGATCACTGTTGAGGGAGGGAGTGAACATAAAGCAGGAAACAGTGTGAGGTTAAGGGCATGGACTCTGGGACCGCCTGGCCTGCGTTGAATCCTGACTTGCCCACTGTGTGACCCTGGGCACTCTGTGACTCAATTTCCTCATCTGCAGTTGGGCTCAGCCAAAGGGCAGTAGGACGGGAAGTCAGAGGTCTGGAAGAGAGAGGGCACAGGGCACGTCTCAGCTCTCTCCATGCTTTGCATCTCAGTCTGACCGTGGCTGTATCACTCCCCCAAACCCCTCACCCGTGGCTCCATCCGTCCCTGGGCTTGGACACCGGACTCCTGTCTTCGCTGCTTTAAGGCAGAAACTAGGGACGCTAGTTCCTGGGTCCCTTAGCATCTTCTGCCAGTGTCCTTAAGCTTGTCTCCCACTACTATAAATAGCCCCTTAATTCGAATCCCAAGAACCAGCTGAGATGGGCTCTCTTTTCCTGCCTGGACCTTGATGGACACAATTAGCACACCGAACTTTTCTCCTGTGCTTACTGATCTTTTGCAGCAAATGCCTTCCTCTTGTGGAAAGCTTTGAATTCTTTGCCAAAGTCTGTACAGGTCTCTCGTGGGGACAGTAGGCTACAAAAGACAGTACTATAAATACACAGCAACCCATGCTCTGCCACCAAAGGAGTTTCTGGGGGCCACCGAGAGGAAGACTTTGTAGAGAGGTAGCATCCTGCTGCGTCCTGAAGGTCACATCGACGTTTTGCAGAGGGGAGAGCAGAGGGCAGTCCAGGAGGAGGGAGCAGAATGTGCCCAAACACAGAGTGATGAAATAGGAAGGACTAGTAGCAAAAAAGCCCAGGTCCTTGTCTAGACTTTGCTCCTGACAGGCTGTGTGACATGGGACAAACCACACCCCTCTGATCCTCACTTTCCTTGCCCGCCAATGCAGATAAAGGTGTTAGACCATGACAGAGTTTCTCAAATCATCCGGGGAATCTTGTTTATTTCTTTGTAAATTTATTTTTGGGATGTAATTGGCATATAAATTTAAGGTGTACAATGTGTTGATCTGATACATTAATATTTTGCAATATGATTACCACTCTGGAGTTAGGTGGCATCTCTATCAGGTCATGTAATTTTTTTTTTTTTTTTTTTTTTGGTGATGGGAACATTTAAGATCTAGTCTCTTAGCAACTTTGAAGTTTATGATACAGAATTGCTGTCTTTAATCTCTATGCTGCACATTGGATCTCCAAGACTTATCTACTTGTTCCAAGTTTGTCTCCTTAAATAACATCTCCCGGATTCCCCCACCCCAGCCTCTGGTAACAACCATTCTACTCCCTGTTTTTATGAGTTTGGCTTTTTTAGATTCCACATGTAAGTAAGACCATATAGTATTTGTCTTTCTCTGTCTGACTTATTTCACCTAGGATAATGCCCTCAAGTTCCATCCATGTTATGGCAAATGGCACAAACAAAACCCCCTCCTCCTCTCTCATGGTTGAATAATATTCCACTGTGGGGTGTGTATTTTCTTCAAGTCATCTCTCCGTGCCAGGTGGGGCTCTAACTCACCATGCCCAGATCACGCGTCGCAGGCTCTATGGACTGAGGCGCCCCTGAGACTCTGCATTTCTAACAAGCTCCCAGGTGGTGCCCGTCTTGGACCGTGTTTTGAGAACAAGGGACTAAAATGAACTCCGATTTCCTTCCAGGCTCAGCGATTCTATAACTCTGTTCATTCCTGTTTTCATGCAGTTTTCTATGACAGGGCTCACATGCCTGAGAACGTCGGCTCTAGCTGAGAGAGACTGATGTTATGAAGACCTGTCTTTCTGGATCTCTGTGGGGTACTCTTGGGGTTGAGAGTTTGACATTTATGGCAGCCTCCTGTTCCAGCCCCATCACCTGCAGATCCGTGCGTTCGGATTTACAGAAGAAAACAGTACTGTCAGCGATGACCCAGTGGGGTTTGAAGACTGTGTCACCTACTCGTACTGCTGGATTCACAGCCCCTCACACCAGGGGAGCTCTGAGGAACCTGAGGACCCCTCCCACGTTTCCCTCACCCTCTCTTGGCCTCTGCTATTGGCAGCATCTAAAATCCCAGCCATAGCCTCATCTTGCTGGGTCTTGATAGCTTTGGGGGACCCTAAGGAGCTTCTGTTAAAATGAAAATTTCTCAGCAAGGAAAGATTCTTTTACTCTTTGCCAGAGCTGCTTTTATTGGATTCCTTTCTGGGAATTCCAGAGGGCGCTTGCCTTTACAGATGGAGAGACTGAGACCGAGAGAGGGGGAAGGACTGGTCACACCACGAGTTCATCATGGAACTCAGATTTCTGGCCAGCCGGTGGTTGGCTTCTTGGGGGTAAGCCTGTCGAGGCAGGCAGGCCCAGATCACACTTTGAAAATCATGACATAGTGGCTTTGAGGCACACAGTTGGGGATTCAAATCCTAGATCATTTTAAAAAATAAGTATTTACTGGGGCACCTGGGTGGCTCAGTCAGTTAAGCACATCAGCTCAGGTCTTGATCTCAGAGTCATGAGTTTGGACCCCACGTTGGGGACTGAAGGCCAGCTAATTGCCCAAGGTCACATAGCTAGTAAATAGCAGAGCTGGGATTTGAAACCACCGTGTCTGGGGCCATAGCTCATGCTCTTAACCACCAAGTCACGAGCTTACTAACTAACTGTACCACGGATTCCTCCCAAAAAACTCACACCAAAGAGGAGGGCAAGGTTTTATCTCTACTTTTCAGAGAAGGATCAGAGAGGTTAAGTAACATTTGGAAAGCTGTGCGGCCCACTAGGGGCTGGGTTGGCCTTTGAAACCAGGCCCTGAGCTCAGTGACCTTGGGTGGGCCACATAGCCTGTCCAAACCTCAGACTCCCCCCTCCCCACCGGTCTACCTTTGGAAGTGGCCATGAGGATGACATGAGATGATAAGTGTGAAGACATGGGCCACACATGGCCACCAGTGGGATGTGGCAAAATGGCAAATGTAGTGGTTAGTCTCCTTGGGACCTGCTTCCTATTCTCTCCCCCAGTAGGGAACGCCTCCTGCCTATTTAACAAGTCAGCATTTCCAAAAGAAACCCCCAAAGGCAATGCCTAACCCAGAAGGGAAGCTGCTTGAATGGTGAGCTTTCAGGTAGACTGGAGTGGCGATTTTTTTTTTTTAACAGCTTTATGGACATATTTTTCACGTTCACGTTCACATATTTTCACGTTCACCATTCAAGTGCACGCAAGGTTCAGGGGTTTTTAGGGTATTCAGAGAGTTGTGCCCCCATCGCCACCAGCTAATTTTAGAACAGTTTCAACAGCCCCAAAAGAAAACCCATACGCTAGCAATCATTTGGAGTTGGCGATGCTTAGCCTGGAGGGAGAAGTTGCTCAGAGTGGTTTTGTTGGCAGCATGGCCAATCATTTGGAGCGTGGTGGGGAATTCTCTGCAAATCATACCCCAAACAACTGCCTATTTCCCCCAACAGAGAGCCGTCCACGGGGCACAGTGTGTTCCATTCACTAGTCTTTAGGTCCAAGAAATAATGACATTTTTTTTTCTGTAGAGAGTAGGGCACAGGGGCTGCCTGAATGTTTGGGAAGTAGAGGGTCAGTGTTGGAGGGGCCAACTACCCCCAAAGAGGATGGCGGGAGAGGAAGTGAAGGTAGGGGAGGGCAGGGCTGGGTCCCACACTTAGCAGCGAGGCTCCCCACCCCAACCAGATGGGTCTTTCAGAATTGCGACTTGGATTGTATTGTTTTCCTCCTTGAAACTCTTCAATGACTTCCCTTATTTTTTGGAAGAAAATCCGGAGTCCTTAGGAGTCTGAAAACCTCCCAACTTCATCCCGTGCTGTGTTTCCACTCATGCTCTTCCTTCCAGCCTCACACGCTACTTTTCTGTTCCTACTCTGCCTCCGTGAGCTTTTGGCAAATAGAAAAAGGTGCACTCTCTTGGTGGAACAAATTAGAGAAAAGATTTTGTTCTCTCAGCCTGATGCCTTTTTACAGTACACGATCTATGCAATGGAACACAGCAGTCCTGCCTTAAACAGGCCAAGCTCCCAACAGACAAGATTTTGACGTCTGGGGGGAGTGGAAAGAGCATGGGCTTAGAGGGCGTCTCTGAGGGTGGGAATCCCAGTTCTGCCACTGGCCCGCTGTGTAGTCCAGGGAGGGTGATTCAGTCTAAAAAGAGTGAGTGATCCCCACCTTGGGGGATGGAAAGTGCCATGAGGATTAATGAAATCATTGGTGTGCTGGGCTTGATCGATGCCCCTCCATTCCCGTGTGGCCCCAGGATCCCTACCCCCATTTAACAGAGAATCAATGATGTTCGCAGAGCATATGCATTTTTCTTTAAAAACAAAAAATTTTAAATGTCTTTCATCTGCTTCTCCTCACTACACATGCTCCTCCGTTTTCACTAAGCAACCTGGATGAAGTCTGATTTACAACAGGCTCCCAATTTGTACCCATCCCTTCCACTCTAGCCCCTCCAATCCCTTCAGGAGTCACCACAAAACACATTTAAAACCAAATCTGGTCATGTCATCCCACACCCCACTGTGTGCTTCAGACTCCTCATTTTTCTGGTCTTGGACCAAATGTCAACCGTGAAAGAGCCTTCCAGGACTGCTCAGTCCATGCTAGGAGGACCCGGCTAATGGCCTGAGATGGCCACAGCTGGTGTGCCACGATGGGAAATGGCCCGGAGCCCCCAGACTCACCAAGGGCCCAAGGACAGTCTGGGCTGGTGGTCTGGCTTCCATGCCAGCCCGGAGAGTCACGGCGAAGAACTAATTGCAGCTGAGGATGTGACTGGCTAAGAACTCCAATGGCCTCTGTCCCCTGGCCCAGTGCTCTGCTTTGGGCTCGACGGCTGGTCAGGAGAGCTTGGGAGAAGGGAGCCACATTACAGAGCCCAAGCGTAGGGCAGGGAAACACGCTGGGCAGGGCAGGTGCTCAACAGCGACACCGGGTGGTGGCGACAAGAGCAACAGGCGCCGGATTTTGAGGCCCACACAGGAAGACGAGAGGCTGCGCAGGAGAGCTGCTCAACAGCGATACAGTGTGGCGGTGGCAGGAACAGCAGCCTAGTTGGATGGACCCACTCTATGAACTCTCTCTGCCTGACCTTAGGAAGCAAGACTCACTCCCTTCCGACTAAGTAAACCCCAGATACTCTTGGGAAGTGTGGAATGAGGGGTGTCTTCAGAGCGGACAAAGAGGGGCACCTGGGTGGTGCAGTCAGTTGAGCGTGGGACTCTTGGTTTCCTCTCAGGTCTGATCTCAGGTTTCTGAGATCCAGCCCCGGGGAGGGCTTCGTGCTCAGTGGGGAGTCCGCTTGGGTTTCTCTCTTCCTCCCCCTCTGTCCCTCCCCCTGCTCTCTCTTTCTCAAATAAATAAATAAATCTAAGAAAAAGAAAGGAAGAAAGGGACATGAGACTTTCTGCTAAGAAGGGCATGTGGGGGCTCAAGAGATCAATCAGAGGAATGGAAAGAGGTGATTGTGTCTGTGAATTGGTGCTGCAGGGCATGCTGGGTGCAGCCAATGAATGAAAGAATGAGCAAAAACCAAGAAATAATACCATCACACAGAATTGCACAGAAAAAGAAGTGTTTTTTTGCGGAGGGTGGGGTATGAAGCGCGATGAGAAATAGTGTGGTAACAAATGGAAAGCAATTCTTGGAGGAAATCTCTGTGCTGACTTAGCCCTTGCAGGAAAAGGCATAATCCCTGAAGTATACACACCGCACACTTTCTCAAGGAACTAAGTTTCTGTATTTAGATCATTTCCGAATCTGAGTTCAGAGAAATTTGCAAGAATCTCTGGTAAAAGGGCTGGGGAAAGGCAGCCTGTGCCCCTATGGGCACGTCAGGAGTGGATGCCAACAACCCCGCCCCCTCCTGGCAGGGCTGATGGCCCTCCCCCGGCACCCATGACGACTTCAGCTGTAGTGAACATCTGCACCAAACAGCAGGAAATTCTAGGGAGAGATGAGAGCACTGTCATCAGCAGGGAGTGCACCCTGGTCTCTGAGCACCATGCTGCTGGGGTTTCAAAGGAAACTTTGGGAGCAGCCTGCCCCCCCCACCCCAGGAAGGGGAGCCGAGAGGGGCCTGTCTGCGGGCACAGAGGCTGGGGTGAGTGGGGGGCACTCGGGATGTAGCTGCTGGGGCCTGCGTGTCAGTGGCTGGCGGCATCGTGAAGCTGCAGATGTGGGAGGCCATGGGCTGCGGGGGCGGGGGGGGGCTTCATTTGTCATCCCTGCCTCATGGCAGCTCAAGGGAGCCTTGTTCCCATCAAGGCTGCAAAACCACTTTTCTTTGCTCCTTCCTGCCCTTCACTCAGAATTTTGAGAAATGAAGAAATTGCATTGTGCCATGGGGTCTTTTTTGTTGTTGTTGTCAAGGACGAACTTGGTAAAACGTGGGGGACTGGGGGGCGCTCTCTGTGTGTGTGTGTGTGTGCACGCACGCGCACGTGTGTGCTTTCTCAGCTAGTCTACGGCCTCAGCTGAAGAACTGGGGGCTGGCTGACTGGATATTGGGGCTGAGGGAGAGCAGGGAGTCCGGGTGATGTGGCCGCTTCCAACAAGGGCCACAAGGTTGACGGGAGAGCTGCTGAGCAAGGTAAGGTAAGGAAGCAATAGTGGGTGGCAGCTTCGTGGCCCAGTTACCAGTTTTGTTGGGACACACTGACTGGGCTAAAAGGCCTCAGGGTGGAGGGAGCAGAGAAAAAACTGGAAGCATGTCTGCATCTCTGGGTGGCACCAAGATGGCTGTTAACCCGAGCTGATGAAAGCCGGCAGGGAAAGCTCACAGTGGGTTAGGACAGAGGCCTGGGCAGGAATCCTGGAGAACTTCTGCGGGTAGGAGGAGGAAGGGGGAGGAAGGGGAGGAAAGGGAAGGATGGGGAAGGAGGGAGGAGGAAGAACCAGTAAGGAGGACTGCATGGACCCAGAGAGAGGTAGCTGGAAAACCAGGAAAGGGAACATTCCAAGCTAGTAGAAGAAAGCATTCCTAACTAGTCTCAGAGGCTGCTGTGGGTCTGGCTGGGGGACAGGCAAGAGAAAGTCGTCCATTCTGGGACATAGATCTCCACTTGGTGCCTCTCTTTTTACCCCCTGGGAGGCATGCCACTTTACATCAAAGATGTAAAGACACCCACTTATAAATGAGGCTCTGAGGCCACCAAGCGAGCTCCAGTTTTTACGGAGTGGGGGGGGGGGGATGCTTCAGAGCCAATGGTTCAAAGCAGGGACCTGGCTGTGAATTTGGACTTGCCTGAAGAGCTGTGTGGCTTTTCTGAGCCTGACCCTTTCTTCCCTGTTCATTAAGAGCCACCCACCTTACAGGGTGCTGTAAGGGTAGAGAGTGCTTGATCCAGGGCTTGCCCACAGGAAGCTTTCTGGAAACAGGTTGCTGTTGTTGAGGGACATTGGGTGAAAAGGGACCTTTGGACCTACCTGGTGGGACTGAAGCACCAGGTTGAAGAGCTGGACGTTGGCGGGCAGCGGGAGAGGGAAGCCTTTCATCAGCCACTCTGCAATGGAGGATGAGGTCAGCACGAGCAGAGGGAAGGCGGAGGCCAGCCCAAGAGCCGGGTGAGGCGGGCGGCCTCCCTGAACCTGCGTGCCTGGCTCTGGGTAGGGATCAGCAGGTGCTTGCAGGCTTGAAGTGTAGGCTGTTCTGGAGACTCTGACTCTTTGCCACACTCCAGGGACCTGGGAAATTGGCCTTCCCGCCCCATCAGCCCCAAGCCCACATTCAGGACCCATGTAAGCCTCTTCCCCAAGTCTACTCTCCCGAGGGTGACTGCAGTGCTGATGTACATGGCCGGGGAGGCTGCTTGCAGGGGTCGGGGGTAGATAGCCTGGGGCATGTGACTGGGGGTATCTACTGGCGTGCGCACGAAGACCCTCAATGTTTAGGGTGAAACCAGAGTAGCCAGGGACCAGCTCCCCCCACCCCATACCACCATATTCTGACATGGAACTCCAGAGAATTCTAAACTCAACCCCATTCTCCCAGGTCATTTCGAAGCTACATTTGTCAAGGTAGGAAGAGCCGTCGTAGTCTTGAGACTCATTTGTGTCTTGATTTATAATTTCTAACTATTCTGGCCTGCAGTCTGTGGGCCTCTCTGAGCACTCTTGCTCCTGGCTCCACAAAGGTGAGATTTTTATCAGTGTGGTGAGCGGAAGCCGGGAGCCAAGGTTAGCTCTTCTTCCCTGGAGCTTCTCTCAGAGGTGGGAAAATGCTGAGGGCTCCAGCTTCATCTCTCACCTTCTCTGTGACCTGCAGCAAGCCACCTGACTTCTCGGATCTCCCATTTCCTCCCCTGAAAACCCTCATCTCCTGGGGCTGTCTTAAAGATTGGATGGAATAATAGATGGGCACATAATAGGAGCTCAAGGTGAGGGCGGCCCCTTTTCTCCATCCCTTTTCCGGGTCAGATGCCACCGAAGGTTCATTTGACGTGACCACCTTCCAGCCTCCATAACTTGGGCCAGGTATTAGGTGACTCTAGGATTGAGCCCCACCTGCTTCCCCTGGGACTAAAAGTCACTCATTCTCCAAAGCTCCTTACCGTTAATCCTGGGAATCACAGTCGTGGACAGAACATAATTCATGATAGCCTGCAGCACCACAACCTGGAAATCAGGAGGACGGGGCCCACGTCAGGGCACCTTGGTGTCGTCAGGCATCCTCTGCCAGCCTCCCTTTCCCTTGGGGCAACCTCAAAGCTGGGAAAACTGCTGAGTGAGGGACACAGGGGATGACGGGAAAATTCTGCAGCCCAATCAGGGCCCCCAAGTGTTAGACCCGGTGTCCCAGGTTCCAGCTGTATAAAGCATGTTCTAGATGTAAGGTACAATGCAGAGGAAAGGAAGGTCATCAGTGTATTTAGACATGAAAACCTTTGAGTGAGAAAATGCATGGTCTCAGATGCTGCTGCTGGACAAACTGGCTCAAGCTTTCTGGGGCTCTATTCGGCCATGTTCAACAAAAGCCTTAAAAATGTGTGTGCCTGGGGGTGCCTGGGTGGCTCAGTCGGTTAAGCATCTGACTTCAGCTCAGGTCATGATCTCAGGGTCCTGGGATCAAGCCCTGTGGCGAGCCCCACACCGGGCTCCGCACTCAAGGGAGTCTGCTTGTCCCTCTGCCCCTCCCCCTGCTCTCTCTCTCTCTGTCTCTATTTCCAATTAAAAAAAAATGTGTGTGCCTGGTAGGCCAGCAAATATGCTTGTAAGGCATTCACCCTAAGGAAACGATGTAGGGCGCAGGTAAAAATTAAGATGCAAGGATGCTCACCGGAGCCATAAATTCAACCAAAACAGTAAATTAACAGCAAGCTACATGTCTAACAATTGGGGAATTATCTGGGGGACATGGTGGCGCTTTGATTCTAGGAAATATGATGCAACTGTTAAGAATAATATTGTAGGAATTTAATTATCCACACAGAGATATTCATGATATATTTTTGAGCGAGAAAAAGCAGGCTATGGAAACCACATAATTCCACTGTCCTATTGAATATGCATAGCAAAAGGTCAGGAAGGATATACTCTAAATGATTAACTAAGTGGCAAAAATAGGAATGGCTTTTATTCTCTTTGGTTTGCAAATCTGTAGGTTTTGATTATTCTAGGATGTAGATCTTTTACTTTTGCAATAGTAAAAAAATATTCAAAAATAATGTAGCACCCTCAAGATGATTGCCTGGTGACATTTACAACTTGTAAATATGTACATTTTTTTTTTCTGGAGCAATTGAGTTTCCTTCCCCAGGTTCTAAATCCCTGGGCTCATAAAATGTGGTGCCCTTCTTTCTACGAATCTGAGAACTTTACATTTTTATTTTCTGCAGAAACGGAAGTTAGTTACTGGCTGAGTCAAGCCACTGTAAGATCTCGGGCACCGTAAGAGCTTTTTGTCACCACTTGGTGACAGCCTGCTGAGAAATGAAGCCAGCATAGGAGATAGTAGAACCAAGAAATGGAGAGAGTCAGAATCCTAAGGACATCATCTGAACACCTGGATCCACCCTTGCCTGAAACGCTTACACTTTTCAATTACCAGAGCCAATAAACTATCCCCTCTTTACTGTCTTTATGGCATTTTAACAGTGATCTAAGAGAAAGGGGGAAATAAATGGCTACTTTTTGAACTCTATCATTCACTATGTTGTGTGCCTCCCCATCACGTGCTACCCCACCCTCATTTGGTTTTTCATGTAGGTGGAAAGGATTATGCCTGATTTGGGGGAAGGTTTGAGGTTCAGAGAGGGGAAGTGACTTGTCCAAGGCCCACAGTTAGTAAGCATGGAGCAGTGATTCTAGCTTAGGTCTGTGGGCCCACAAAACTCCTCTGGCCATTACTTCACATGCAAATTATATGCAAATGAACAGGTGGCCTCCGAAAATGATGCCAGGAGCCTTTGTGGCCCTCAGGACAGTTATCTCAAGATCAGCGGAAGGAGGGAGCCACCAAGGACCTCAGACTCACCGAGAAGGGGCCGATGTCCGAGTGCTTCAGTTCTAGGAGCAGCCTGTGTGAAGAGGAGGAGGAAGCTGAGATCACCTTTTGCCTGACCTATGTTAGAGTCTGGTTGCTGGGGAGAAGGGGCCCTCTCTGGTGGATGCCGCCCAGTTTTCCCACCCAGTATCCATTCCCCTTCCTCTGGTCACAGCTCCCTAATTGTTCCTTTGCGGGCATCACCCCTTCCCTACATTGTTAGTGCTGAGCTCTGGGGTAGGCTGGCCAAAGGGCAGAGTCCACCTCCCCTAACACAGTGATTGTTGGAAGGATGGACCCGTGACCCATGCTGGTTCAATGAGAGTTTGCCCCAAGGACTGTTGGAAATACCGGGAATGAGGTGTTCTCTTTTCTCCAGGAAAACTAGGGAGCTGCTGGTGACCATTTTTTAAAAATTTTTTTATTGTTATGTTAATCACCACACATTACATCATTAGTTCTTGATGTAGTGTTCCATGATTCATTGTTTGTGCATAACACCCAGTGCTCCACGCAGAATGTGCCCTCTTTAATACCCATCACCAGGCTAACCCATCCCCCCACCCCCCTCCCCTCTAGAACCCTCAGTTTGTTTTTCAGAGTCCATCGTCTCTCATGGTTCCTCTCCCCCTCCGACTTACTCCCCTTCATTCTTCCCCTCCTGCTATCTTCTTCTTTTTCTTTTTTCTTAACATGTCTTGCATTATTTGTTTCAGAAGTACCGATCTGTGATTCAACAGTCCTGCGCAATTCACAGCGCTCACCATAGCACATACCCTACCCAATGTCTATCACCCAGCCACCCCATCCCTCCCACCCCCCACCACTCAGCAACCCTCAGTTTGTTTCCTGAGATTAAGAATTCCTCATATCAGTGAGGTCATATGATACATGTCTTTCTCTGATTGACTTATTTCACTCAGCATAATACCCTCCAGTTCCATCCATGTCGTTGTAAATGGCAAGATCTCATTCCTTTGGATGGCTGCATAATATTCCATTGTGTATATATACCACATCTTCTTTATCCATTCATCTGTCGATGGACATCTTGGCTCTTTCCACAGTTTGCCTATTGTGGACATTGCTGCTATAAACATTGGGGTGCACGTACCCCTTCGGATCCCTACATTTGTCTCTTTGGGGTAAATACCCAGTAGTGCAATTGCTGGATCGTAGGGTAGCTCTATTTTCAACTGTTTGAGGAACCTCCATACTGTTTTCCAGAGTGGCTGCACCAGCTTGCATTCCCACCAACAGTGTAGGAGGGTTCCCCTTTCTCCACATCCCCGCCAACATCTGTCGTTTCCTGACTTGTTAATTTTAGCCATTCTGACGGGTGTGAGGTGGTATCTCATTGAGGTTTTGATTTGGATTTCCCTGATGCCGAGCGATGTTGAGCACTTTTTCATGTGCCTGTTGGCCATTTGGATGTCTTCTTTGGAAAAATGTCTGTTCATGTCTTCTGCCCATTTCTTGATTGGATTATTTGTTCTTTGGGTGTTGAGTTTGATAAGTTCTTTATAGATTTTGGATACTAGCCCTTTATCTAATGTTGCTGGTGACCATTTTTGTCACCACTTGGTGACAGCCTGCTGAGAAATGGAGCCAGCATAGGAGATAGTAGAACCAAGAAATGGAGAGAGTCAGAATCCTAAGGACATCATTTGAACACCTGGATCCACCCTTGCCTGAAACCCTACACTTTTCAATTACCAGAGCCAATAAACTATCCCCTCTTTACTGTTTTTATGGCATTTTAACAGTGATCTAAGGAAAAGGGGGATTTAAATGACTAATTATTGAACCCTATCATTCACTATGTTGTGTGCTTTACCCCATGGAAATCCTATAACACCCTCAGAGGCAAGGGCCATCACTCACATTTTACAGATAAGGAAACTGACCCTCAGAGATGTCAGACAACTTGCCCAAGGTCGTACAATGAACAATTAGCAAAGTAGAATTTCAACAGATCTCCTGATGCCTGAGCTCTTGTCTCCAATACCCTACAAAGCTTGAAAGCTCACCCTTGTTCATCAAGAGGTGGGAGCCCCAGGACTCCTGCTCTGTGGACTCTCACACCCCACCCCTGCACATTTGAGCATCTGCTCAGCCCTCACCCAGCTGTATCATCTCTGACTCCTCTACTTGAGAGGCTCATGGGTGTTCAAGGGAAATTAAATCCACATGTATCCGAAGCAGTAACACTTGTCAGAATGATGCCAGGAGAAATAAGCAGCATGTAAACCTCAGGAGCCAGTCTTGAGGTTAAGAAGGACAGCTCTGTGCTGCAGAGAAGGCGGAAGTGGGCAGGAATGTAGGTCAAGACTCAATTTAAACAGCGTGAGCATGATTCAGAGGCAGACAGCAGGTCTAACCATTGGGGTCATCACACTGACTCGGCGAGGGTCTCCCTTTCTCCTCCTCTGTGTGTGTCCTTCCCTCTCTCTCCTCCTTCTGTGTCTGCCTCTCCATCTGTCAGTCTCTCTTGCTCTCATTCTCTTTCTGTCTCTCCCCTCCCTTCCTCCCTTTGTGTGTGTCTCTCTCTGAGAGTCTCTCCATGCGTCTCTGACTTTCCCTCTCTCTCCCCCCATTGCTGTCTTTCTCTTTTCTGTGTGTCCCTCTCTTGCTCTTGCTTGTTGAGCCCTTATACCCCTTGTGTTCTCCACACTTCAATGCATGTTAATACCTCATTTCATCCTCACTACAACGCTCTTGGCAAGGAACAACCATCGGGCATGTTTCTGTTACATCATCGGGCTTCTTTCGAAGCCAGGGCAATGGAATTTTGCTGAGTAGAGTGTTGGCCGAGGGGGGCTGCGCTTTGCATGCAGGTAGCCTCCACCCCAGAGTCCCTATGCCTAACCACAGCCGCCGCTGTTGGGGCTCTCCCAGCACGAGGCGGCTGAGCACGGCCCACGGATGGGCTGTGAAGAAAAGGATGTGGGTTTTCCACGTGCTGAGGCAGGCCAGGGACAGAGGTGGCTGGGCGCCGCTGAGGGTCAGCGCTGAGTAGAATCACCTTCTGGCCCCGCACAGCCATGAGTCTGCCCAGGACCGAGGGGCATCCTGGGGTGCAGGACCTTCCGTGCTAACACTGGGAGACTGCAGGCAAACCATGATGACTGGTCACCTACGGTGTATGACCTCGGGTGGCCCACTTCATCTCCGAGCATCAGATTTTTACTATCTGCAGAGCAGGGCTTTGGTGCCCACCGCACACCGTCTGAGGCTTAAATGTGATGGATGAACAGGAGAGCAACGACATAGAGCTTGGTGTGTTGTGGGGCCATTGCTAGCCCATGGGCCCCAAGAGTGGGTGGGCGGCCACTTACCTGTCCACACTGAGCTTTCCAACAAGCCTGTCAGCCGTGGCGCTGACCTCCATCGAAGCATTCGTGTTCTGCAAGGCAGCAATCCAAAGAGTGAAATCCCCTGAGCCAGGGGCCGAGGCCTTGGCAAGGTCTCCAAGATGGGAGGGTCAGCTTCACAAAGGCTTGGCAGAGGAGCCCACACAGAAACCAAGGAGGAGGGGCTCTTCCTTTGCTTTGGGCTTGTTGGTGAGTCCTGGGCTGTCCCCTAATTACCATTTTCTCCCACTGCCCTAGGGAAAATTTCAGGTTTCCAGGCCACTTGCACGGGCTGGGCGAGACTGACCTCAGGACTGGAGTCCAGGCCAGCCCTATTCTCAAGCCATTCATTCATTCAGTCATTCAGTCAACAAATATTTACTGAATCAGAAAACTGAGCTCCCCACCTCAACTTTCCTGCCCACTGTCTGCATGATCCGGGGCAGACCCCTCAGAACCCATTTAATTGACCAAGTGGGGAAAATGGGTCTCAACTTGAGAGATGGCAGAACTGCCTGAGGCCTGAGTGCTCCCCTGGTGGGGAGACAGTCTGGCCTTCACCTCCGTGGCCACAGTGGGTGCCACCAAATGTTCATGGAGTGACAGCGTGAGCAGAATGAATGAATGCAAAAATCAGCAATGGGCCAAACACTTGCATAAACGAAGGATTACACACACAAATGAAGGAATAAACAAAGATATGCATAAATAAGTGATGAATGAGTGAACTAACAAATATACAAATGATTAATTGAACAAAGGTATAAGTGAATGAATAAATGAATAATGGAATAAATTAATGTGTGCATGAACCAGAACAGGTCTAGCATATTTCAAGTTAGCAACGTAATGAATAATTGAATGAATGAACAAGTTCACAAATGCATAATTGAATGACCAAAGATATGAGTGAATGAACCTGAAACAGTACACATATTTCAAGCCAGTGATGGAGGGAAGAACTGAAGCCATGAACGCCTGCAGAAGCCAGAAGCAGTTAGTACAGCGGCTCTGGTCTCAGGTCCTGGAGCATCTGAATCTAGGCATGGTTCACCCTGGTCCCCCAACTCCGAGGGCAGTGCCCTCACCTGCCCACACCTGGGAAGAGCTTACCAGGTGAAGCACGAAGAGGGAAGCCAAGGAGGAGTTCGGGAGCACAGCAAAGGCCTGGATCTCCAGGGCAGGGGTGAAGATGAGGCCAGTGGGGAGCACGGTGAGGTGCGGTGGGGACGAAGCCGAGATGTTGAGCTGCACCATCATGTTGGGGAACATCTTGGCCACCTGCAGCCCCCAGTGGGGACAACCAACAAAGTGACAGTTTTATTCAACTGTTTCTAAATCCCATCTTGTCTTGACCCTGCATGAACACCTCCAATGTATTCCTGTTGCTTCTTGACTAAATCGTAAAGACTTCACTCAGTGGGACTCGGTGTCTGCAGCTTCCCCCCATAGGCCTCTACTCCTTGCTCTCCAGCTCCAGCCACATGGGACTCCTTTCTGTTCCCCAAACATACGACCCACTCTGTTCCCATCTAACACCCTTTGCACTCTCTGCTCCTCTCACTGAATGCTTCTACCCCCATTCTTTCCCAGCTTGGCTCTCTCCCTTTCTTTAGGGATCAGCTCAAATGTCACCTCTTCACAGAGCAGTGTGGGCCTCCTGGGGGAACTGAGGAGGGATTTGGTGACAACCCAATCTCTTCTAGCCTCCAGTCCCCTCCCCCACCACCACCAGGTAGACTCTCCGTCTCAGAAAAACAATGTGATTTTTAGGCCATAAAGCTTCAAGAAGATTCCCCTGATCCCCCTACCAGTCACGCTTCCCCACACCAGTACCCCCTGTATAGAAACTTCCAGAAGTGCCACTGCTGGAGAGGCTGTTATGGATTGAATGTTTGTGTCCCCCACACTCATGTATTGAAGCTCTCTCTCACCCCCAGTACAGCTGTAGCTGGAGACGAGGCACTAAGGAAGTAATTAAGGTTAAATAAGGTCATAGGGGTGGGGCCCTGATCCAATAGGATTAACGTCCTCATAAGGAGAAACACCAGAGCGTGCTTGCTCTCCCTCTATATGAGCTCAGAGGAACGACCATGTGAGGACACAGCAAGAAAGTAGCCATCTATTAACCAAGAAGAGGCCCTCACCCAAACCCAGATCTGTGGGTACCTTGACCTTGGACTTCTTGGCCACCAGAACCATAAGAAATACATTCCTGTTGTGGGGGCCCCCTGGTCTGTGGCACTTTGTTATGGCAGCCCGAGCAGACTGAGACTGAGGCTTTTGTCTGAAGCGACCTCATCCATCCATTGGCTTCATGTGTCATGGGGAGCACCTTCTTTTTAATTGTTTTGGGTGCCTGAAGGGTAATTTTCTCTCTTCACTGGACTGGGGCTCCAGGAGGGCAGGGATACGGTCTGCTTTGCTAGATGCCAAGAGCAGAGCCCTGGCCACACGGTAAGCACTCAATAAATGTTCATTGAGTGGATAAGCCCCCAGCGTCTACCCTCACGCCTGGTCGCCTGGGTGCTTGGAGCCTCTCTTTGCAGGGAGGAGGGGCTGCACAAGGCTGTTTCCACTCTCAAGCTGGGTTGCCTCTGGGTCTGGAGGAGGGGCTTTCCTCAGGCCATTCAGCAGAGCTCAGTCCTCCCCGGCACCCCCAAGCTGCCTCATGAGGGGACAAAAGGGAGCAACCTCCTTCTTACCTCGGGTATGAGGGTTCCAAGAAATGTGGTTGTCAGTCGGAATTTGGATTTCTTTGGTATCTGTAGCAAGGGAAGAAGAGAAAAGTATCTTGGAGGATTATGTTATAGATTGGAGAGGGGGACAAATTCCATATGAGGGGTGAGAGACTGAATGCACAGACAATGGCCAAGCCATCCATGACAACAACGCTGACCCACAACTTCTGCAGCCATCAGCCCAGAACAGTCAGGACACGTTCAGTCGCTGCCAGCTTCCCTATTTTTTTTTGCCCTAAAAAACTCAAATATGCTCTTCACACCAATCACATAGGATGCCCAGCTTCTATTAGCTCACGTCCAGCTTGCCCGTGCTCAAAACCTCTACGGGAACATAGTTGTAAAGATATAAAGCCATCAATCCCCCCTCCTCTGCGTGCATTCGTCTCTGCCAAATGCAGGTGTGGGTGGCTGACTCTCCTGCCCCGAAGAGTTCTCATTCTGGTGGTCTTTGTTTATTTCCAGGGGACCTGTGGGGGCTCAGCATCCTTTTGGTGCCCCTACATCCTCTTCCAGGAGCAGTGTGGGTGGAACCCCACATGGTTGGTAACCAGGCTGCATCTAGACTCTGGAGAGGATGGGTAAACTGAGGCCCAGAACAGGGCTCAGCCATGAGTATATCAACAGAGACACTGACGATGATGATAATGGCGACGTGAGGCTAAGACTGGATTGGGGCAGGGGCGCCTGGGTGGCTCAGTTGGTTAAGCATCTGCCTTCGTCTCGGGTCATGATCCCAGGGTCCTGGGATCGAGCCCCGCATCGGGCTCCCTATTCAGTGGGAGGCCTGCTTCTCCCTCTCCCACTCCCCCTGCTTGTGTTCCCTCTCTCGCTGTGTCTCAATAAAATCTTAAAAAACAAAATAAAACAAAACACTGGATTTGGGGCAAGTACTCGGGCAGTGTTGGCTGCAACTTTCATCCCTCATTGAGGACTTCCTACCTGCTCAGCATGTGCTGAGTGCTTCTTGTGCATTCATATTTCATTCTACCCTCTCACATGCTTGGGAGAGAGATACTGGTATTGGTGTTTTACAGGTGAGGTAACAGGTTCTGAGAGGTTGAATGACTGGCCTAAGGTCACCCAGTTAGGAAAGGGGGGGCCCATATTCCAACTCAGGTCTGGCCGCCTCTAGAGACTGGACTATGATCCCCCTGCCGTGTGAACACAGGTTCGAGTCCAGATGGTCTGCTGGGCTCTGAGCCCCACACTCATCCTGCATCCACCCCCAGCCCGGCTTTACCATGTCGTCCGTGATGGTCAGGTGTAGGACCCCTGCCTGTTGGTACACGAACCCCGCTGTGTTGAAGAAGTAGTCGGAGATGCCCAGGTACACCATACGGTCATGGTCGTTGGGAAAGGCCAGCGCTGGCGAGGTGAAGGGAAACGGGCCAGGATGTGCCACACTGAAAAACTCCCCCTGGGGGCGGAGGAGACAGGGTGAGCCTGGGCTTCCTTCAGGAATTATAACTCAATGTCTTCATCCCGGGAGAAAATGGGTTGAGGAAACCAATCATGCACTCACAGAGGAGGAAGTCATGACCAGAAACCAACAATAGTATCCTGTGCCTCCAGGGGGCTAGTTTCTAGGGGCTTTTCTTGCCAATCCTGCAAGGCAGGTATGATGATGCTCATTTTTCAGGAGAGGACGCTGAGGTGCAGGGAGGTGAAGTGACGTGCCCAAGGTCACTTGGGCAACACTCCCAACCACCTGGCATACTCCCAGTTGCGCCATTGGCTTGGCTTTGGCCTTGCCAATGAGTACAGAAATTACACCGAACAACAATGAGATTCTGTTTGTTTGTTTTCGTCTGTCAAATTAGCAAAATTTTGAAGAGAGAGGTAAACTGTTTTAAGTGCACATGTATTTCAAACTCACACTATCCAGTTTTTTGTGAGTGTTCATATGCTGCTGGGGAGTCTATGTTTAATAAGTTTCTGAAGAGCAATTTGGCAATGGCTGCAAAAGCAGATAGCTAGGAAAGAACAATGTTGAGTTATAAAAAAGCAAATTGTAGATGGATACATATGGTAGAATACCATTTATGCAAAATTTAAAGGCATATAAAACATACTAAGCAAGAATTATTGACACACATAGATATGTAGTAAAAGTATAAGAACACAAATTAGAAGGAGACAAACCAGCATCATATCTGTGATTCCCTCAGGGGTAGAGGGGGCCCCAAGTGGCCTCAGTGATTTATTTTTAGAATGTTTCATCTCAAAAAAAAATCAAAGGCAAATATGACAAAATGGTAACATTTCTTAAATCTGGGTGGTGGGTTCTCTGTACCTTTGAATCATCTCATTATTAAAAATTAAACACCATGACACCCATCTTACAGAATACCACGCAACTCTTAAAAATGATAAGTCCATGTGCCAACCAGGAGCCGATTGCAATGCATATCTTTAGCAGAGAAAAGCAAGTGAAAGGCTAGAGTGTATCCATTCATGAAAATGGATCACCAGCAAAACTAGATGGGTTTGCCCTTGTGTGTATGTGCATGCTTCGAACCAGGGAGCCGGGAGGTTAACGCACTCCATGGCTCACAGCCTTAAACCTCTGGGCAGGAGCCTGGGGCGGCCAGGAAACGGGATGTCCTCATTCACTAAAAATAACTATGTATCATTTTAATCCTTTATTCCATTGTATCACTTAGATTTTTTTTTGGTCCAGCAATGCCACTTCTAGGAAATAGTCAAGGATGGGCAGAGATCCAGAGACAAGGATGTTCATGGCAGCTCTGGTTACATGTTTGGAGAAAATGGACAGAGCCCAATGTCCCAGAAGGCGGCACTGTCCACAAACCTTATCACAAGTGTCCACCAGAAAGATCCAACAGCCAGTAAAAGGGCTGTAGGAGGACGATTCATGGAAAGATGTTCATGCTACGCTGTTCCATTTTGAAAAGTTGTGAGACAGTATGTATAACAAGACTCATGTAAATACATGTATGTGTGTATTCCTATGTCTTATATGTGGGATTTTTTTATGCGTACGCATGTGCACGTGCGTGCGTGTGTGTGTGTGTTTTCCTGTGTCTTGGTAGAGACAAGGTTGGGGGGATCTAATCTGTGTGTCAATAGTGTATATCTCTGAGTTGTAATATTTGGGTAATCTCTCTCACTCTCCTTTCTTCCTTCTTTCTTTCCTATTTATTTCTCTGCTCCTCTGTAGTTTCTAAATGTTCTTTTCTATATCAAACATGTTTTAGAACAAACAAGTAAACAGTAACAAACAAGCCAGTCACTAGTTGTGGAGGGACTGAATGAGGGACATCCAGAGGGAATGCAGGGGTGGGACCTACTCCAGCTGTGGCAGTCAGGGAAGGCTGCTCTGGGAGTGATATCCAAGCACAGACCCACCTGGAGTATAAGAAGCCAGTTGGGAAGAGGAGGGCATGCGAGGGAAGGCAGTTCAAGGGGGAGGGAAGGTGTAGGACAAAGCCCCTAAGGTGGGAATGACCTTGGTGTGTTGAGGAAGTGCAAGGCCAGTGTGTCTGGCTGGAGGGTGGTGAGCGAAGGGAGAGTGGCATGAAGTGAAGCTCCACCCATCCCTCCCTCCATTTGTCCATCCAATCAAAATATTTACTAAGCAGCAAGTAGATACCAAGCATAGCTCCAGGTGCTGCACCTGGAGTTCCTGACCAGCAGTCAGGAACAAAGCAGCTGTAGCCCCTCCTCTTTCATCACAGAGGGAGACAGACGTGTGACTGTGTGTGTGTGCATGCGCGTGTTGGGGGCTGTTAGTCATAAGTAATGGATATGGAGGGAAAGGAGGGAACTGTTTCAGTGAGTGTGGTCTGGGAAGGTCTCTCTAGGGAGAGGGAGATTTGAGTAAAGCCTGGAAAGATGGAAGGGAGAGCTTATGTGAATATCTGGGTGAGACCTTCTGGGCAGAAGGAGGAGCAAGTGCAAGGGCCCTGGGGAGCGAGCGTGCATAGGGTGGTTCAGGAGTAGTGGGGAGGCCAGTGAGTCTGGAGCAGGGAGAAAGTGCAGAGATAAGGATGATGAGGAGCCCCAGGAAGGTCCAAGACAAAGGCCTGAGGGTCTCTCGGTGTAAGTCTCACCTTCAGCTGCCCATCCAGGTTGTCAGCCGTGGCTGTCGGAGGTGCCACCAGTGAGTAATTGATCCCAGCTACCTTATCTATTTTGGTTGTCACTAGAGGGGAAGAAGATGGACTATGAGCTGGCTCTGCACAGCAGCATTTTGGGGGCCCGAGATGCAGTGTCAGCATCAGCCAAAGTTGAATCAAGAACTGTAGTGTGGGCTCCTTTCCCACCTCCTCCAGGGAGCCCTCCCTGAGGGAGGGACATGACCCCACACCGCATATAAACAGACATCATCTCCTTCTCTTCTTCCAACAGCCCCAAGATACGGTCAAGGAGCAGAGGGCTTGAATTGAAATCTCTATGATCTTGGACAAGTCCTTTCATGTCTCTAAGCCACTTTTTGTCATTGGTAGAACGAAGTAATACTAGTGACCCCACAGACTCCCTGTGCATGGTCAGGGCTCAGAAGCCAAAGGGACTATTGCTAGCAGTGATAATACCCCAGGCTGAGTCCAGGCTGGCTCAGGTCCGAATGGTTTCTGTGTTTCTCAGCAGTCATCAATGAGAATTAAATAAATACGGGTCCCAAACAAACTGAGGGTTGCTGGAGTGGTGGGGGGTGAGAGGGATGGGG